AAGAAGTATGCCTTGTGACAGAAAATAAGGATGATGAGGACACCTCGGCTATAAATTCCTGACCATATTATTCAAATCAAACAAAACCCCCAGGTTTATTACAAGGACTAACAAAAACCTTATCACCCCAAACATATCATATTGGACATTAACCCTTTAAACCATTGTCAACTCTTGATACAGGTCTCATATTAACCCCTTCAACACCCTAATATCAAGTTGTGATATTCATCTAGATCATTTTACGGTTCATGTCACAATTTAATTGAATACATTCCCTTTAAATAGCCCGACATAACATGGTGGTCAATACACCCATCATTTGTTTACCTTGATTCATACATATCTGACGCCTGATGTCTGACGATTGATCACGTACCATCTGATGGATCAAGATTCCAGTTGTTCAGAAGAGTATACAACGCAAGGCTCTGTGGTACAGTATGCGCGTTAAATATACCTTGACAGACAGTTGGATATCGAAAAAGAATAGGATGATGCCGCTATCATGGCTAAATGTCCTAATAGTTTACTGCATAACGTTGTTCCATTTCATTTCATTTCCCTTTAACCCTTGTCTGGTGAGTAAATAATATTAAATTTCATTTTGTCACCATCAATAACCATGAAATGACTGCCCATTCAGGCAAGGACACTGGAACAATGGTTAGCTTTGTGATTGATAATGGTCAAGTATTCTTGGTGGACTAATGAAATAAATATTGTCGCGAGGAGTAAATTTACCGTGAAATAACCTTATAGCTGAATTATTCAACACAAAATTACTCATCTTGCTCGTTATTATAAGGGATATTGACCGTAAATAGTTTTAATATTTTCCAAAGGGCATTCCAGTTGTGATACACTAATATAAATATAGAGTAGTGTTCAGAGCATATACAACGATTTATTTCTATATTATTAGGTATGAGAAGCACCGATGGAAACGCAAAATGATTTAAAAAAGAAGAAAATCTGCAACGTCCTGTTAGTTGTGAGCTCGCAAGCGATACAGTTAATATGAGTAGGTGTTCAGGTGTTTATGCATCAAAATTTATAGACAAAAATAAATATAAGATTTCAGACGTCGCGAAAAACCTTTAATTTCGATACTATTTGATACTATCCGCCCGATTGTTCAGATCAGTTTTCCGTAAACGATTCCTTTAAAAATAAACAAGATCAGACCATTAATCACAAGATAATAAAAACGTGTAAAATTTACCAAACTTGTAAATTGACCAAGCCATTAAAACCCTTTAATTACAGACGCAAAATCGATTTCCCGCCAAAATGAATCACTTCAAGGACAAAAGGTCAAATGTTTTCAGTAAATTGTCTGTTAAAGGTTTTTAGTTTGAAATCTAATTGGTCGGAAGCGATATCAATGACACGTTGAATGGGCTCTAGCATTTTGAACATTCCGAAACATGGAATTCGCACGTTTATCATTTTAGCCCATGCTTGCTTAATTTTAAGATGGCGTCCTAGTGTTTACAGTCTGCCTTTCTTATTGCTTTATCTTTGCTGGAACTCTGATGACAGAACCGTCTAGAAATAATAGTTTTACGGGTGGACTAAAAAAAGACTACATTAAACACTACCAACATTATTTTGGTTTTCGCAGTGGAAACAGGTGCTGAATAGATCAGTGTTGGCAGCCCCCTCGCAGCCCCGAAAGCAAGTTTTTTTTCTCTGATATCCCCCCCCCCCCCCCCCGGAAATAAACCTGGCTCTGCCACTGGAAAAATGCTCTAAGTCTTAGGGTTTACTTTCATGAAGGCCTACTCGTATGTTAATTTGTTTACAAAAGGGTCATTTTGTTTACTTTATTTACACACAGCATTGTTTACTCGTTTGTTTACTTATTTTTCTGTTTACTCCGAATGTGTTGACAAGTTTGTTGTGTATTGTTTTGGGTGGTTATCGTCCAAATCTGACGGTTTTAGGTGTTGACCTTCGGTTTAAGCATATTGTTTTTTGGATGCTGGACAAATCTCTCTTTTGTTTCCCTTGCCAATAGACTCGGAAACATGGCTGGTTATCAACAAGATAGTCCAGGGATGACCATTCTGAAAAATTTCCATTTAATGTTAAGGACAAAATAATGTTATTGTTATTTTAAAGAGGTAGAATCAGTTAATTTACTCTACAGGTACATTACAGCCGTGCAGCTCAATTTCAGCTATCCGTAACAATCATTTCTTGAGACTCAACCCACTGCAAGGATTCTATGAATTCTGAACCTCACTTGGGTTCATCAGGGTATTTTACACCCACCGAATCTGTTGACCATTGGTCAGTTATACCAACAATTCGTCAACTCTTTTACTGTTTGGCTTGAACTAACTTTACGGAAGGCGGATTATAGACTTTCAGTTAACCATAATCTAACAAAATCTTAAAAATCCCACGATTCGACACCAGGAACAGGAACAACTTTCATCTCGAGCTTCCAGCTTTGAAATGAAATGAAATATCTTTTGATGTGTTAAATAACATCTACTTGTTAAATTTCACATCATTTTGGGGTTTAAAAGTTGAGTTCCAATGTACTCAGATGAAAATAGGTGAAGGAAATAGGGTTAATATACTTTCTAACCGATTACTCTATCGCTTTTGAAATATTTGGTATCCAGATCTTTCATGAACGTTTCCAACATATTATGTCTGAGGTGCTATTTTGTACTTGAACCCACACCGTCTGTAAAACTACGTAGGCTAAAAACAATGAATGTCTACAGTCTCACGAGTTGAACATCGATTCATGCTGTCCCTCTACAAAAAAGATATATTTTGACTAAACAATATTGCACATTCAAATCCAGTTTCTGGGACGTAACGCTCCATTTCATTTTGTTTCATTTTGTCGATTTCCGAGCAATAAAATTGCAATAATTAAACAGGAAAATAAATATTTATATCATTAACAATAAGTCTTCCGCCGCAGATATAATTAAGATATGATCTCGGAAGTACACAATATATTCTCAATAACCTACACGTGTCGCTTACTTCCCTTTGCATATCCTAATAAGGTTATCGCGTGCACGTCATGCGCCACACACTCCCGGCATTGTTCAAGGTTAATTTAATTTATTCGCCATGCTCTAAACAATCCCTGCTTAATTTGTTTAAGAGACAATGAAGAGCTATCTTAAATGGATTTAATTCTTCAATTTTCAATGAAAAAGGGATTAGAAAGTTTCTCATCAGAGCAATAAGTCGTGTTGGTCCGAACCCAATTCCTAGCACTCTTATGAGACCTGCCGACGACATATTTATTAACAAGAAAAACTAGTTAAGATTTGAAGGGCATAGTATAGTAGGCCTACTTCGACTTATTGTAATGCGTGTGGTAGATCTTGATTCGGAATTAATTCTGTCCATTTCTGCATTCCAACCAAAGGGCCTTAAGTTTGGCTCGGGTCGACTGGCGAATCAGAGCATATCACTACATCCGTCACAAGCGATCAGAGCGACAGCTCATGGGGTACCATGCCAGTTATAAGGCTTAATCCACATACAAGGTTGTGAAGATGAATCTATTTGAGTTCAATTATGTTACGATTGATATGCTATATTGGTAGAATTGCAAACGTCTGACTTGGAATGGTGCACTGCCATGGTATTCTACAAAGTCAGTTGCTAGCATATTTCAGATTCTGTCTATTCGAGCCCATCTTAACAGGACCGTTACTTCAGGGGGGCAAGGGGAAATGCTCCGCCGAAAAAAATCGATTGCCCTCCTGCAACTAAACACTATAAGCCATTGCTCTTTCGGATTATACATTCAAGTCTGGCTTCGGGTCTGCACCTTAATGTATCGTTTGTACTCGGAAAAACGACAAACGTGGGCGATATTATCTATAATGTGTCGGGCGGCCATTGTTAATTTATATTTTAATTGTTAATATAATGTCACCATGGACCAACTGATAAAAACTCGGTCAGCATCGTGATGTGCAATAGGATGGACTATAACATGTCCTCTGATAACCCTAGCCATCTCTGCACATTAATTCTGAAACTCATTAAACAAAGTAATTAGTTCTAATGACGAAGTTGACATCGCAGGACAACTCCTACATCCTACATGTATATAACACTTTTTATAAACAATATTTCATACATTTTAAAAAATAATATAGAATGGCGGTGCGTAGGTAGCTATGTTCTGCTTATTAAATTGATTTTGGACACAGGCCTATGTATTTCACTCCTATTGCTGTTTTGGAAACGAACAAGAAATGATCCATGAATGATTAGCTTTACGTTAATATTTCTATTAAAGAATGTCATTGTTCGGAAGCGTATTTCACAGGCATCGTTCTGTAAAGTTTAGCTTAAGTATCATTTCAGTGCCCAACCTAACAATGTGGTGTTTCAAGTCATGTTGACAATTCTACAGTTCGGAATACTTGTTAATATTTTGTCGCATAAAACACGTGGTGGGTTAAAATGGTTTTAACGAGGTCTTCAATAAAACGTTCCTGCAATTCCAGTAAAGTGTTTGATGACGCCACTAATCGAAAAATCTACTATATCACTCAAGGCCCTTCGCGTTAGTGGGATCATCAAACACTTCGTTTAAATGGAATTGCAAGAACCAGAGATGTCAGATACAGTCTGAAGTTGGAATGGTGCAAATTGATACCGCCAGTGTCCCCGATACACATATTTTAGAAAACCTGTTTACAATCACATTAACTCTTTTTCTAATGAAAATTCAGCAGTGGCTCTCCAAGCCCACATTGGTAAACTGTATCACCACTGTGTCCATTTGATCTCACAAGAGTTCTGTCCCATTTAAAGATTTAACGTTTTAAACTCTGTGCAACTTTGCTGAAAGAGAATAATATGAAAAAAATGAGTTTTATGTAGTCTGTCAGAGATAAGTGAATAAAGAGTTAGTGACCCTTGAATGAAACTCTTTAATTTGAAGGTAGAAAAGGTGCTGTAATCGTAAACAAGGAACTGTCATGTCACATGAGATTGAATAAACAACTATCTTTTGATTTTCTATTTAACCCCATTATAAATGTTATCTTCAATTCGTAAACCTCACATGATGGCCTATTAGATTACGTCCCTTTATTTAAACACTGTTGTCAGGACACTGTCAGCATAATATATTTTTTATCGAACTGAGTTACTCAGTAAGTAAGTGTACTTCATATTTCTACTTTCAATTTCGGTATGCTGTTACATTTTTATTTGATTTCCTTGGCACTACCAAATAGTTCAACAGTAATGTAAACTTCCATATTGTGTTTCATATTATGGATACGATTATCCTTACTGTGTGTTCTATAATAAGCTGCAAGTGTAGACTGCCAGTATAGATGCAACAAATCTGGTGCTTATGGTTTATGGTTATAACCAGATGTGTGATCACTGAAAAACTGGGTGGTGCTCGGGCTGTATTACTGGTACTGCTATTATGATTATATTGAATAAAATAATGAAATACTCAATATGTTTGTTCTGTACCTTATCTCTTTTTAACTTCTTTCTTTCTCTTCAATTTCAGAATCTGTTTGAGCAGTCAACCAATGTCTTCCCTAGGTTACCTCCCCATTGTTCTAGTGCTTCTGTCGTTTGCTACATTTATTGTTACATATATTGTAGCAGTTGTAAGAGATGATGTTTCTGCAGCATTTCCTTATATCAGGTACTTGTATAACATATAACTGTCTACTTGTGACCTATTCCAGTGCTTCTGTGGGAGAGGATCCCTATTACACCTTATACCTGAGGACAACGGGAGAAACATGTTGAAATATTGCATAAAACTTAAACTAGTTATTGTTGTTCAAAAATACTATGTCTACATTATAATCTATGGTTAGATTAGGATTAGATAATACCTTTTTTGGAGATCAGTTTTAAAACTTGGCATTGTTGGAGATAATTTTCAATTATTTAAACCAGGTCTTTTAAGCTTTTAGGTGAAAGTGATAGTAATTGGTTCTATGTCTTAGAGCCTATTCATGTTAAGATCCCTCAATATATGGAAATCAAATTAGATTGCACAATTAGTTAATACCTTTGTATTTTTTTTACAGTTGATGCTTTATTTTGTTTTCAGTGACACTGGAGCTGAGATTCCAGAAAGTTGTATATTCGGACAGTTTCTGAACTTAGCAGCTTGTTTAGGTAAGTAAACAATTCTAGTTTTCTGTACATTTCTAGAAAGATATCAAACTTATTGCACATTTACCAAACTGTAATCTGAGTTAAAATGAGGCAAAGGAGGATCTGGGTGGACACTTCACAAGTTTGGTTGCAGTTTCATAAGTGAGGCATTTTCCACTATTACGCTATGGACTTGTGGACGCTGGCAATCAGCAACAACAATTTTCAAAAATCTGCATATCTGTTAAATCTGTAAAAAAGTGTTCGCTTTTGTACCCTTTAGTTTTACAAAGGTATATCATCTTAACTATCAATTTCAGCATTCTGCACTATGTATGTAAGATATAAGTCTATACAAGCTATAGCTGGTAATGAAGATATATGGCTAGGTAGAATGAATAAAGTATCTTTTATACTTGGAATTATTTCTGCTATTGGAACTTCCATGGTGGCCAACTTTCAGGTAAGGCTTTGAATGTTGGTCTCGCTGGAGGTGCTAAGTGCAAGGCCTATCATACTGCAATTTCCTTTTAATTTCCATTGTGAATAATCCACATGCAACTGCTCAACAATTTCAACAAAAAAAAATGTTCACAGAAGAACATCTTTTAGCATTGGTCCCCACCTGTCTTATATATTAATACCCCTGGAATCCCCATTGCTTACAACAAATTAGAAGGGATCAATAATTGAAATGATGTAAAAAATTATCCAATAGACTGCTCAGATACCTTATTTGGTGACTTCCAGTACCCCCCAGTACTTGGTTCTCCAGGTTGGAAGTAGTACATACATGCATTATTCAAACATGACTGGAAAATTATGAGAATTTGAGAGGGACAATTACTTTGTTGAAAGCAGATATCAAAAGAATTTGATTAACTTAAGTGTCAATATATCTTCTTAACCAACATTTTAGCCGCTGCATCTGCAGCCTTTGCTCATTATTCCTGGGCGAATCATCATCATACAGAATCTAAGTTTAAATGGAGGTCTGATGATCCAGTAAGTAGAGGTCTATTGGTCGTCCTTATTTGGTTGTCACATGATAAAGTCATTCTTTTTTCTCTATTTAGATAAGATTTACATTCATTAACTTACTTAGCACAGAATGTTTGAATACAAGTTACGATTGTATTACTTTCTACTTTTCTGATACTGATTTTGACTATGTAGCTTTTGCAATGAACGATCAGAGCATCATCTAAGAAATGATAAAAATACAAAATGTAAAGTAGGATTGTAAAAACAGGGTTTTGAAGATTTGAATTGTTATTGAAATTATATCATATAGGTCTTTTAATATTGCAGAATTCAGTACGCTTCCATTGTTAATTAAGATATAAATATCTTTCAGCTGTGCTCATATCTTTATATCTATTACAGGGTTATACAGCTCATGTGATATCAACTGCTGGTGAATGGATAACAGCAGCCACCTTTCTTTGTTTCTTTTTTACCTATGTTAGAGAGTTCTTTAAATTTGAACTAAATATAGCCATGAGGCCTTTAGTACGACATTTGGATGAGGAGCCATATTATCATGACCGTGAAACTAATGATGAAAGAACAAGACTTTTAGGATGAGTAGAAATCTAACTCAAGGTTTTTGGTTCTTGTCAGCATGTCATGCGCATTCTCATTTTTAGGCCTATTGCCTGCAGTGAAAATTTTAGTCATTTTGTCTGATTCGTTAAAAATTAAAGTTGTCATTGAATAAGAGCTTAAACTTTACTGCTCAAAAAAAAAGCTCATGTAGAATGGAATATCTCAAAATACATGTTCATTATTTAAGGCAGTCTAATAAGCTCATTTAGCTCAACAAGTGTTATTACATAATTATACCCAAAGAGGCAGAAAAGGAGCTCAAAGTAAAATTAGTTTTGTGCTTATTATTATATAGATTTTTATAGACAAATGTATCATGAAAGTTTATTATATTTTATCATGAAGGTTTCTTACATGTATCATGAAAGTTTATTACATGTATCATGAAAGTTTATTACATGTATCATGAAAGTTTATTACATGTATCATGAAAGTTTATTACATGTAAAGTGTACTATGAATGTGTATTACATGTATCATGGAAGTTTATTACATGTATCATGAAAGTTTATTACATGTATCATGAAAGTTTTATTACATGTATCATGAAAGTTTATTACATGTAAAATGTACTATGAATGTGTATTACATGTATCATGAAAGTTTATTACATGTATCATGAAAGTTTATTACATGTATCATGAAAGTTTATTACATGTAAAATGTACTATGAATGTGTATTACATGTATCATGGAAGTTTTTTACATGTATCATGAAAGTTTATTATATGAAAGTTTATTAGATATATCATGAAAGTTCATTACATGTAAGATTTACATGTATCATGAAAATTTCCTACATTTTTGTTCATTTATTGGTTTGGAATATTGATTTGGTGGAATTTGCTATAATATTATTCTGATAAAATTTTTGCCAAAGGCTATTACATTTTATTTTATTTAGTGTATTGTGCCTCTATATTTTGTTATTGAACTTCTTCATTAAGATTTATTAACTTTATATTAGATGATTCCTTTTCTTTTGTGTTTCAGAGCTTTTATTGAGCTTGAGAATATACACAATCTGGTTAAAATATAAGTAGTGATGTCTAGTTTTATTTGTTGTCTATGTTTTTTTGCACTCGCCATACATGATCTATATTGCCTTTAAACTTCACAATTGTAGTTGTACATAGCAAATTATTTTTGTGTTTTAAATGATATTTGATTGTGTAGTCAAGTGTAGAATGATAACCCTGGTGGGAAGGATTTTCAAATTAAGTCAAATTGAAGGCCAAATAATGTTTTCCCTGTATAAAGAAGGGCTTGTGCTTTATTGTTTATTATTATATATTTGCAATATTATTGAATAGACTAATTTGATTTTTGAGCTTCATAAAGTGCTTCATAATAGATTGTTTTTTTCATAAATTTATTATTTTTTTTTGTAAATTTGTGTATTGTTAATTGTTTTTTTCATAATAGATAATTTATTCCACCTTATTAACCCTGCCACTTGTATCTGTGATGATAATTTTACACTAAGATAATTTTTTTAACCCGTTCTACACTATTGGTTGCTCTACTGGATACATAACTATGAATATTTATTGTTAAAAAGGTTGAGTTGAACTGGATCAATATGAATGACTGGTCTGGAACATTCCATGAAATACTTTTCCTCATGTGGAAGTCAAAATTTCATATTTTAGTGTAATAAATTTTTTTTTTTATAAATATCCCCATTTTGTCAGTGTAAAGCATAATTTACGAAGGTTGATCCTCTGTTCTGATGAATAATATAAGTGATAGATTAATCAGTGCATTAAAAATAATTGTGCACATCTAGATTTGTGTCAAAACAAAAATTCAAGCAGTCCACTTTCTCTTTAGGTAGTTAAAGTAGTAATAAATACAATATATATCTGCCTTATATAGTTTTAATTACCATTTGTCTTGTATATAATATATAGTCTATTAACTCCAAGGAAGATTTGGTTATCAAATTGATTAAGTTATCATTATATATTTCACCTAAATTTTGATGTTTGCTTTGATTCAGATCAAGATGTGCACAAATATTTGCCCTCAACTATATATATTATATATGTTGTGATCATTTAGAGAAATTTATTCTGTACAGAAATAGTCCATGTTTTTTTTTTGAAAATAAATTTATATATGGATATTTTTTTCTTGAATTTGATGCCGCTGTCCTGGCAAAATTTCCCCACATGGTGCAGAAAAGTAGGACGTAAAAATCCATTCATTTCATTTAATTTCCAAAGAGATTGTAAAGAGGATTTCTGAACTTTTTATGCGTGTATCGGGGACATTGATAGCATCAATCGCAAAATCTGCTTCACAATTTCATTAACCACACCCAAAAATGCACTCAAATGAAAATTATGTTCCGTTTCTAAAAGATATCATACCAACTTTTCTACACATAATTGTAATATAAAGGACCTTTGAAGACACCCAAAAATTGAATAAAAACTCCAGATAGTTTAATGAATTGTATTTATGTGTATATAATAAATTATAATAAATTAAATAAACAATCAACAAAAATTAACATAAATATCAATTATATTGCAATAAATCAAAAAATCATGTTCATATAAAATAAGTGTGTTCCCTAACTTTGTTTATAAGTTTTAAGTTCTGAAATAGGTAGGCTAAGCCTTATTTCCAAGACAAGTGTAGGAATTATGAGATAAGCTCTTGTCAATCAGACATTATATTATTTAGTGAGTTGATAACACTATATAACATAACATGTTTTATAATTATATTATTATTTCCAAATAAAATGTAACATAAAAGTTTATTACATATAAATTATTAATATTTAAATCATTTCAATGAAATTCAGTTATTGTAGATACATGTTTATAAAATTTAAATCAAACATGACTGCATCTGTATTTGGTATATATCTTTAGAAGAAAGTCCTGAAAAAGAAAGACAATTTGTTTGTATAATATAGACAATATTTTCATCCTTACAATAAAGATATCTCAGCAGCAGAAATTTCAAATAATTCTTTCATTGTACAGAAAACCTGGTAAAAATTTGTGAAAAGGGATTGTAAAGCAGTTTTCTTAACTTTTTAAGTCCATACTTTTTATTTTTATCAGGACACTAATAGCATCGATTTACACCATTCCCATTTTCAATCAGATGTCAATGGTTCTTGTAATTCCACTGAAGCTTAGACCGAAATAACATGTACAAACATGGAACATCATAAAGAAAATAAACATGGAAGGGATATCATACAGATAAGAAAATAAACATGGAAGGGATATCATACAGATAAGAAAATAAACATGGAAGGGATATCATACAGATAAGAAAATAAACATGGAAGGGATATCATACAGATAAGAAAATACTTACACTGCATCTTCATCATTGATCATAAAACCTTTAGCTATAACTATCTTCACTGTTTCCTAGAAAAGTAATAAATAAAATGGAATAGACAGGAATTTTCATTTTAAGCTGTATCCTTCCTTCAGTTTTATACTGAAACATGGTGGCTCTCTCACTGTCTATACTATAATGCATCATTTAATATAGGACCTACAGAGGAGGAGCCAAGGAATATCTAGACTAACTAACATGCAAACAGATCATTGAAATCTTCCCCCTGCTCTAGGCCTTACCTGTGGTCTCCTATCAACATCAGATAAGATATTTCTGGCCTGATCAGCTGATAGATCTATTAAACTTTTACCATCCACCATTAATAACTGATCTCCTACTTGAATTTCACCTGCAAATAAGAAACATTTTTAACTATATCATATTTTAAAATTTTGATCAAAACACTGATCTTCCTTTTCAGTCTTCTGAATGTTTTAGTGAATATTTGTACTCCTTTATTTCAGTAAAAGTAACAAACAAAAGTCCAGCAGCTGGTCCTTGGTCAAAACTTCTAGCATTGATCTTTCTCAGAAATTTTCAGTTACCATTTACAGCTAGGTTGACTGAAATAATGAGGAAAGATGACTGAAAGGCAATGAAGCATCAAGATATAGACTACATACCATTATCAAATACACAGCCTTCAGCATAGATCTCTGCTACTTGTATTCTATCAGCTAATGGTGTACCTATTCCACCTTCTATTTCTACACCTAGAGGTTTGTTCTAGAAATAGATATAACATTGTTCAAAATATACACAAGAAACATGAATGTAGTCACTTCAAAATAGTTAATGCCAGTCATTATGAATAATACAGTAACATGTATCAGATTATCATGCTGTTCTAAGGATAAGATGCATGTCAGTCAACACAGGATGAACTTTAGTGAATTTGAACACAATCTTACCTTTAAAAGCTTAACTAATTCTAAATCTTTTCCCTTTATATCTGCTTCTCTAAACTAAAATAGAAATAATTATATTATATATTTTTAGTATTATAGTCAGTTAAAGGGATGTTGATTTGCAGGTTTTTACCAGTCACTTGGAGTTAATTCACTAAAATGACTTTCAATTGCCTTGTATATTACTTCAGATCAATTTTTACAATAGATCTATTTGAAAACATTCAAGGTAATATTTTAAGTATTTTCATCTGAATAACCAAAATCAGCATTGTGAACCTTAAAGTTGGAAAATCATTTTCTTTAAAAATCATAACGTGCTGTCTTGGGGTCTTGGTAAAAAGCTAATTTGGGGAAGTTGTGGATTCATTACACACAAAATGTCGGAGTAAGAATAAAATAATCAGATAGATATTTTGATATAAATATTTATGAATATTAAGGAAATATCAGAAGATGTTTTTTAAATAGTACAGAATATTTTTAACTCATAGTTTGTTAATACTTAATTTGTTAATCAGAAAAAGTGTATGAATATCAGAGAATATTAATAAATAAAAAATAATGTATATAAAAAAAATAAATAAATAGTACCAAAAAGACACACACTCAAAAAAAAGAAACAGTATATGTGAGAAACTTATTGTTAAGTTTAAGGTTGGATCGCCACACAATGGAAGATTATGAATTTATTTTGTCCATATTTTAGTGATAAAGATAGTGTTTTTTTCAGTCAGGAAACACACAGAATATAAGAAACAGAATACAGGAGAAATTGATTGTTTAGTTTAGGTTAGATCGCTACACAATGTCAGAGTATAAAGATATGTGTTGTCATTAGTTATATTGTGATTTACCATAGATTTGATCTGAGAGATATCATTTATATCAGTCCATACAGTATTCTGATTTGGGTGTGGTGCACCTAATAGAGTAGGTTTATTCTTTGATGAATGTCGTGCAGCTAGGATGGCTCCTTTTCCACCTAACACTTCTTTCTGAGGAGAAAATAAATTTCAGCTTAAAGAGATGCAGAAGAGACCTTTATTTTCTGTTCTACTTCAGTTTAAAGAATGTATATTTTAAGACGTAACATGCATTTTGTTTTTGTCATTCTAAGCAAAAATGAATCTCACCAGATTTCCCTTTCTCGGGGCATTATCAACATCATTCTTTACAGATATTACTTATCATGTCATAATATCAGAAATAACTGCAGTTTCAAGCTGAATAAAGCCCTGAACAGTAATGGCCCACTAAATTGGCATGATACCTTTATTTAAGTCATTACCTTTTGTTTCAATGACTCTAATTCTTCACGTAAAGAGTTATCCTGTCTTCGTTTATCACGGGGGATAACTGCTGTATATAAATCAGCTGACTGTTCACTCTGATTATCCAGTAAGAAATCTTCTCTATAGTTAGTAGAGTTACTGTCTGCATTTGACAAACTTTTCCTTGAATCTGCAAAAAACAAAAATATCTAAAAAAAAAATGTCTATTCTCTTGACCTTTGTCTTCCAATACTCTTGTCTGCTGGGCAATTAGGTGTCTTAGCCCTTCCATAAATTTCATGTGAAAACGACTCCCCATTTTGGACAGAAAATTCTCTTCTGTAAGTTCCATGTAAATTTATTTTTATCAGTTGACATAGTGATCAACCTAATAACAATATTGGAGTTGATATTTCAATTCGTGCAAAGATCAGCAAACCGTAAACATTGTGATCAGACAGTAGGCATGTTCTTCCAGAAAGGAGCACACTATGGCGTTAGAAATAAACCAACCTAAATGTTGCTGTATTAGATCCTCTTCATTAAAGGTAGGTGTAGAATCTTCTACTACATACTTTCTACTAGAAGTATTTCTACAATTTAAAATAATATAATCTAAATCTTTGATTTACAAGTTGAGCGACCTCAATTTCAAATATTTAAATTTCTTTTGATCTCTGTCTATGACACAGACCCATAGTTTGGTAATACCCTTTTAGGGTGAAACGCCTCAAATGTAACTTATCATTATTCAATTATGTATTATTTCAAAGATAATTTATTTATATAGCTAATATGATATTTGTTTTGATAGAGTTGTAAGGCAAAGAGAGAAAACATTATGAGACCTACCTAGCATGTACCTCTACTTCACTATGACTAGAGTTTGTTGACCTTCCACCACCACCTAAAATCTTTAATGGTTCTTGATTTCTATTCTCAAACAGTAATGTTCCCTGAAAACAGAAAAATATACTGGTTATTAAAAGGATTATAAATTGGTCTCTGCATGTACACTTACAGCTTCCCTTCTCACAGAATTTTGTTCAAAATTGGTTTTGATGTAACTTTATGTTCACAGCAGCAATTTGGATTCTTTGAATTAAGTTTGTTTCAATTTGCACCAAATTGAAGGCAAAATTAACTGTTACCTACCACTTTTTTTCTTATGACCATATCTAATTGTCTACTTCCCTTTAATGTTACAACAGCCTACAATAATAAACAACATTGTTATATTCAGTTGGAGTGTTACATCATACCGTCAGCTTGAATACAGGTAATGATGTACTTCCAAATGTGCTACGATGGTTTGTTGGTTGATGACAACTGTTAACTTCTGCTTTTATCTTTATTATGAAAAGCAACTCTAAATTTTAAATCATTAAGGATATCTATTGAAGAGTTATTATTGCTGTATGGTATTGGGTAAGCTTTTAGTAATGTATAAGTCAACTATGTTTATCACATGTACATTTTTTATATGTAGTTTCGCACAGTTCAAGTTTAATTGGTTTATAATATGTTTTATTTGTAGAATGTAAACTGGCTACTTAATAAATTATTAAAAAAAAAAAAAAAAAAAAAAAAAAAATAATGAAAACTTCTGCTTTTAATAAATTGATATAGCAAACTTAAAATTACAGACCATGCAATATTCTAATGCGAAGTCAGATCCATAGGCCATGCAGCTGTAAACATTGTATCTGGGAGTCATGCACAGTAGAAACAGAGAAACATTTACTTAACAATGGCATGAGTCTACCATATTGAAATGTATTAGATTTAGTATCATTTGATATTTACCTCTTTATGAGAAATGTGCTGAAATGTTGTACCATTGACCTCTACAATTTGATCTCCAACCTCTAACCCTGCTTCCTCAGCCAAACTTTCTGGCTTGACTTTTTCAATAAATATTCCAGGGAAATGATTTGGTCCACTTAATATTCTATAAGAAATTTTAAACATTTCAAGATTTCAGAACACCCTAAAAGTTCAACAGCAAATAAATTAAAATTGTTTTATTGCTTTTATGACAGGCAACAAAGAGGAAAATTTGTCAGGCAGTAGTATTAGTTTTCTCTTTCTCATTTTTTGCTTGAGGAAATCTGTGAAGTATACAGGGGAAGCACTACAAAAGACATAGCTAAGGAGAACAATCAAAAGAATATATTGATTATCATTATTTATAGGGGTGCAACCCTTTGCCAAAATAAAACATTTGACACATACTGAGGCTTTATGTAAAAAGAAGGGACTTTTTAATCATATTGAGCCAAAATAACCCTTTCACTTCCTAGCCAATTCATACATTACTTACATGAGTTCACAAATACAGTAACAATTCCTACTTACCCACAACCAATACTACTAGCTCCTGCAGTATTAATAAATATCTTTAATTCATTACCATGGAAACGGTTCCTGTTACCACCAGCCCCGTCTAATACTTCTTGCTGCAAAAGAATATAAAATTTTCATTAAAAGCATAGTAAATAATTGCATAATATACAATTTATCAGTCAAAAGAAAAATAAGGTATGTCCAACTTTATTTTACACAATGAGAAATTCTCCATGGGCAATGACAGCCAAATAATCTTGATCACTAGGCCTTTTTACAACAAAGAATGATTCCTGAACGATGGGTAAGGTGCTTTTTTTCTTAATGTGGCAACTTACCAGGGCCTTCGAAGAATCCATTTTCTCAACATATGACCAAGAAACATTATCATTAGGATCTTCTTTATTAGGTAACATTCCAATATGGGTGACTTTTAACATTATTATATCTCTTGATTTGATCAGGTTTAATACATCTTCATGTATAGCTTCTGATATAGTAAATCCATTCACTCTCACTATCTCATCTCCAACCTACAAGGAATATTGAATGAATGAATGAATGGTGAGTGAATGAATGAATTAATGAATGGATGGTGAGTGAATGACAATATATCATAAATACATAGACTTTTACCAGTAATGGTAATGAATGAATGTATGAATATATGAATATATGCATGAATGAATAATTGTTTCAAAATAGAGTTAATATTAAAGTTGGATTCCTACCTTCAAGCCTTTTTTATCAGCTTGTGAACCAGGTTTAACATCAGATACAAATACTCCAACACCATGTTCAAAACCTAAATTCAAATGAAAATAATTTTACATCCTACAAATATCTGCATTATGTAAAATCATATAAAAAGGCAACATCAATTGACCTTTTCAATTCCTGTTGAGGACCTGGTAAACATGAGACTTGCAGTGTTATAACAGATACAACCTAAATCAAGTGTTTGCTCTATGGGATTTACTAATTTGGGATTTTGATTTCGTCCAACAAATGTCAAGGTGTGATAGCTCTGATCTATTTCTATAGGGTAAAGCTTTGGTTAGAATGGCACACCAAAAAGACTTTGACTCTGAATTTCTAAGACCTTAAATCTCCATATGTGTTTATCATAAAAATCTAGCTTACCTCCCCTGACGGCAAATCCCAAGCTTTCACCATGTCCCCTGTGTAAGCGGATTATTCGTAGTTTAACACCAGGCATATTAGGTGTCTTACGACTATATTCTATCTGATGTTTTAATAGAATCAAAGGTCTGTAAACATATAAATAATTCTAGAAAACTTTCACAAAAAAGAGCTCAAGCTCATGCTCAAACAAATATCTTAGCATCTTCTCTTTAACACATCTAAAACTATAACATATTCCTAACATGTTTCACTTCCGTAAGAAATGAGATAATAAATATACATGATGTTTTTAAACCAGTCAATCAACATGCTTCTAACAACTTAGGTTCGATCCCATATAATGAGAACCCAAGACCATAATTAGATCAACGTAGCAAATGACATCAAGATTCCAACACACTAACCAAATCAACTACAGTATTGACTCGAAATTTATATATCAAAAATTAAAAGTTCACCTGATATGTTCATAAAGTTCTAGTTTGGTTGGATCATTGAACAATTTTCTTAAATCAGACAATAAACTCTCCAAATCCAATTGGCTGAAATATACAGGTTAGAATTAGAGTTGTCCTTTAGCAGAATTAAAATCTAAGCTTCAATCCCTCTAGTGTATAACAAAATCATATCATCGAAATAAAGATGGACCCAAAATTGCATTGGATATCAAATGAAATCTACCTGATTTCTTTTTTTGTTTCATACTGTCTGAAACTTGTTATTGTTCCATTCCAATATTTTGTACCGTTGCCTTTTTAACAATGATAATGAGGTCAGCAGTCCAACCCAGCATTCCGTCTCTTATATGTTTATTGTTTAGGGGTGAGCAGGGGCTCAAACCCTACAACCTCCAGCCCCCCTAGTTCAACATCTAATGCAATGAAGTCTAATAAAACTTACGATTGATATTTGCGAAGAGATTCAAATAGAGTCTCTCTTTCATCTTCTTCATTGATCAGTTCTTTTACCTATAAAATAAATGGATTTTCAGGCTTTAAAGATTGTGTTTATTCTGGCTCAAGCTCAAATGATCTGAATAAAAATCCTTGACCATTCAAGGTAAAGGGGTCTGAAGATGGGTTAGCATGTGACCTCAATCATTTTAGTGTAAATTTGTAACAAAAATTTGTGTCCAATCTGAAGGCAAAATGTAAGAGGTAGAAAGTTTTCTTTTATTATTCTTCACTGTGACCTCTTGTGACAACTTTTAAGTAAACTCACAGAGTGTATATGTATTTAACTAGTAACATTATAACAGGATAACCTCAGTTTACAAATCTTATATTTATAAAGTGTTCCTGTTTATATTATTTCTTATCTTTATAATACAATCTATTATACTATATAATACTCTTCAATCAATTGGTTTATTTCTCAAAATATTCAAGTCATAGATCTACTAACAGCCTAACTATTGGTTTAGTGGCATGATATATAATGAGATAACAGGCCTTAAGATACTAGGCATACTTGTTGTCATCCATCTTGATGTGTATCATATCCTAGCATAATTTGAAATACCTCATTTCTTACTAGTGCATTATTTATTGTCTTATCTATATTATACTATATACTTCACATCTTTATATGGTCAAACAGTAATAACACTGGACAAAAAATCAATGATTACAATAGAATAGCTAAACTGATTGATTCAGTCTTGTTCAGTGGACTGTATCCAACTTCCTAATGATTGATTAATTTCTCAGATTTGTTTTTGCTTGAATATTCTAATAAGATTCTAAGAAGAATATCCAACATCATTATGTCTTTTCCAACAAAACAATTTTACTTTTGTGATTGTGAAATCTAAGTTAATTTGATTATCTAATTAATTTTCATTATAAAACTTTTTATCAATTAAGAAATATATTTAACTCTCTAGGTCTCCTGTCAAGGCAAGAACCCATAGAATATTTCAAATTCCAATATAATTTCTAAAAGATTTCCCCATGTCCAATTACCCACATGAAATAAAGTTTTCATTAAACCTTAACGACCTTCTGTGCCAATTTTTGAACTGATATATCTTAAGATGACTTTACCATCTAGTTCTATTGTAATCATAAGGTGAAACATAACATTTTAAATTTCAAAAATAATTTCTCAAAGACTTGTTCCCATTCCCATTCTAAGATTTAATCAAACTTAAAATTTCATCTTTGATGTGTCAAATAAATAAGACCTAATAGAACATTTCTGAAGACTTGATCAAACCATAAATTGCAAATTCCAAACTTTAGACCAATAAATGTCATTATCAATTCTAAACTTTCATTTCTAAGATGAGAGAATTTGACCCACTTGGTTTACTGTTCTACTGTGTATAGAATACAAGATAACAACCTCTGATCAAACATTTTAAAACAAGCCACTGAAAAAATGTATGAAACAAACAAAAGTTTACCTTGATGTTAAAATTAGATCCGAAACCTGACACAGAACTCATCGCAATTTCAACATCAATATTCCCAGCGTGGAATCACTTCTCAACTTTATTAGAATGTCAAATTTGCAGTTTTTCAACGTATCTTATCAATACATGTCCGACTAACTTCGTGATTTTCTATTTAATCGTTCAACTTGAATCGTTTATCAGCCAATATTTACATTAAGATTATAGTCTGTTTCTAATTTCTTGATACATTGTTACATTTAGTGTCAACTTGTTGGTTGTATTCGCCACCATACAATCCAATCAAATCACTTCATTCATGGTACAAGAAGAAAAATGTTAGGAACATCACCATGATTGAACAAAGAATGGAAAGAAACAAACAACCATTTTTACAATGATAACCACTAAAGTTCGCTAGGATCCTGTCTACAAGCTGTTCTACAAAACTCTAGGCATTGATCTTTCCAGGATAATCCCCTCACAATCTGAATGAGAATCCACAAATGTACCACAAATGTACCACAAATGAACTCCTTAAAGACAACAATTTGATCAAAATACAGATCAAGACTATTTGTAAGAATTTCAAAATTATAGTGTGCAGTTTGTACAAGTTTTTTTCAATGTAGATCTGAGATCATGAGATGTATCTAAATGACGTCTGTATGCCTTGCCTCGTTAGTGTATGACAGACTAAATTAAATGTAATGAAATGATTGAGTGAATCAGTAAATATTGGTTGATCGGAATTCAATATCAATTATTGATCAGTTTAACCTTGATATCTATTGATATTGAAACTATCCATCATTTATAATTAGATATAAAATACACAGCTATTAATATAACTAATAGAAGCAATCAGTTTTAGGATGAGCAGGTTTCAGGATAATACTATAAACCTACAATAAGATCTCTTAATCTATTTGTGGATGTTAGAGGAGGATAGAGACTCTGTGAAAGATTTACATTGACATTCTTAAGAACATCCTGATATACAACCACACTGACAATCTGGAGTCACCAAGACATGGATACTTAAATATTGATCATGAAATGTCCCTGACTGATCTCAAATTAGACATGTTGCAGTCAATCTAACGTCCTGAGTTGACATGACTAAGAAACAATCAAGATAAACAATAGCTGTTTTAGATTGTTTAAAATAAAACAGACTATAGAGAGTGTCTGATAAGACAGAAGGTTAAAGTTTTGTGAAGGAAATGATTTACAAGGTAGACATTTTATTTGAATTGTTTCAAGAAATAAACAGAGACATTGGTTTGAAGAAACCAAATAACATTTTTTATTTAAATTTTAATGATGCAGACTGTTTCATTTTAACTTATAGCATGTATTAGGTGTTATATATAATAGTCTTCTATTGAAGCACTGGCAAATATCACAAGAAGAGAACATACAATTCTCTTTTATCATTGTGTGATACTTTGGAATTTCTTATATATTCCTACAATTTTATTCATCCACATTGTGTCTAGTTCAAAGGGATTGTAAAGAGGTTTTCTAAATTTTTTCTATCATTGGTTCCTGCAAATTAACTTTTATGATGTCACTATCGCAAAATCTGTTTATATCATATGACGTCATAAAACACTTGTTAAGTGGATTGCAGTGAAAATACTAGCTGAGTCTCTCTCCTGTATGTTAAGTCTATAGATTACTAAATGATTTACTACAAACATCATACTAGAAGAGTTTCTCTCCTGTATGTTTAATATAACTCTATAGATTACTAAATGATTTACTATAAACATCATGCTAGAAGAGTTTCTCTCCTGTATATTTAATACAATAGATTACTAAATGATTTACTATAAACATCATACTAGAAGAGTTTCTCTCCTGTATGTTAAGTCTATAGATTACTAAATGATTTACTACAAACATCATACTAGAAGAGTTTCTCTCCTGTATATTTAATATAACTCTATAGATTACTAAATGATTTACTATAAACATCATACTAGAAGAGTTTCTCTCCTGTATATTTTATACAATAGATTACTAAATGATTTACTATAAACATCATGCTAGAAGAGTTTCTCTCCTGTATGTTTTATATAACTCTATAGATTACTAAATGATTTACTATAAACATCATACTAGAAGAGTTTCTCTCCTGTACATTTTATACAATAGATTACTAAATGATTTACTATAAACATCATGCTAGAAGAGTTTCTCTCCTGTATGTTAAGTCTATAGATTACTAAATGATTTACTATAAACATCATACTAGAAGAGTTTCTCTCCTGTATGTTAAGTCTATAGATTACTAAATGATTTACTATAAACATCATACTAGAAGAGTTTCTCTCCTGTATATTTTATATAATAGATTATTAAATGATTTACTACAAACATCATAGTAGAAGAGTTTCTCTCCTGTATGTTTAATATAACTCTATAGATTACTAAATGATTTACTATAAACATCATGCTAGAAGAGTTTCTCTCCTGTATATTTAATATAACTCTATAGATTACTAAATGATTTACTACAAACATCATACTAGAAGAGTTTCTCTCCTGTATGTTTAATATAACTCTATAGATTACTAAATGATTTACTATAAACATCATGCTAGAAGAGTTTCTCTCCTGTATATTTTATATAATAGATTATTAAATGATTTACTACAAACATCATGCTAGAAGAGTTTCTCTCCTGTATATTTTATATAATAGATTACTAAATGATTTACTATAAACATCATACTAGTAATTCTAAATAACACCTTTTTAGTGCAGAAAGCAAAATCAAATTCATAAAGGCCTAAAAGAAATTTTGTCTGATAAAAAACTCAACACTATTGTGGTTTTTTTTTCAATCGTCCGAAAATCAGGCAAAGCCAAGTAGAGCTATTTCTACCCTAAAAAGGTCTTATATAATCTGATCTAAAGCAAATTGACTGTGAACCTACATTACAACACAGTGTGATAAGAATTGAATTTTCTCTGTCAATTCACAAATATCAAAATTGGCATTTAATATCTTGTCAAGCAATTGGGATTATAAAGTTTGAAAATTTTACATTTGAAATGAGAACACTGCACTTCTCTCACAGAAATGACCATGAAATTGGCCCACATTTTGGACTGAAAATGACCCACTTCCCCCAGTAAAATCATATCTCAAAATAATATATTTTTCATGGATTTTGAATTAGTATTTTCATCAACCCAAATTGAAATGCCTTTTTTAAGGCTTAACTCCCAAAAATATTTAGGCTAGAAGATATTTCAAAAATTATGTCAAAATCAGAGAGATGGTTCATATTGATTTATAGAGTAAACATATTGACAATAATGATATCCTCTGGCAGACCAGGTGTGAATTCCACTAAACAGGTATGAATATAAAGGGTAAGCCATCATCAAAGAAGCCGCAAAGACATTGAATCGAAAAGCAAACAAGACTGATAAAATTCAACTCACCTGAGAATGGAAGAACTTGGCAAATTTCCTCTCCATTGTTTGCAAAAAGATTGGAAAATCTTAGAAATAATTCGCCAGGTAGGTCAAGGAAATATGAATGAAGGGAGATAACTACATTGTTTACATTGGTTGCAAGTTGTCTCGATTGTCACACAATAAAATATATCTATTTGTCAAGACTGCATTAACGAATATAGTACTGAAAGTACCTGGTGCTTCCAATGGCAAACTGAAATGTTTCAGCTTAATGAATTACGTAAGTTTGTCAAGTAGCCTACAATCTGCTTGTCAGAACCGCGAATCAGCTACGACCTAATACAAGAGAGGGTCTGGGACCGACTATCCTGCCCCGAAGGCGAAAATTCTGTGATACAAATCCCTTGATTGTCAGTAAGTTGAACTTTGCAAGATCAGCTGCCTTGTCTGTCTGTAGGCCTAATTTACGTTCTTGTTTGTTGGACACGCTAATTTCAAGATCTATAGTTAAAACAAGCTTTTGGAAATCAATTTAAAAGTTTATTTAAGCAACATTAATTAAACAATATTAAAGTGTGTTAATATAAAAAAAAAGAAGAATTGAAGTCTATGAAATGGAGTTTTACGTCCTGTTTTTCTACATAAGATGATGAAATCTGAATGATGGACCTATATGACAGGGTTTATAAGCTGTGTCATAAAGGAAGAAAAAATTGTATAAATAAATACACGAAATAATGCAAATAAGAAACAAAACGTTATATTAAAAAAAGCAACAATAAAAATTTGTAATTGATTAAAACTATAAATATATATTATATTATAATTATTTTAATGAAAAGCGTCAAAGATCATAAAAAGCACAATAATATGCGCACAAAATGAAAAAGTTAAGAATTTATCATCAATATGATGAAACCAATTTACCAATATGATTTACAGGTTTTTTACTGGGACATTCCTTTCCATTGAAACTTCAATCTAGTACTGGAATAGGGACGAGATACCGGAATTCAAACTGTAGGACAGTTTATATCGTTCGCTTAAGAACGTTACAGGCGGATATCGTATTAAAAGAGTTTCTTTCAATTAAGAGGTCACGATTTTCAATATGAAATCTATAAGCCATCATCTTAAGATTCTGAATTTTGATTTCCAGCTATCATCTGAACAAAAATCTTGCGTTGCCTTTAAAAGAGACGAATATCACCCTTTTAATAGGACTGTGTAATGGTGTTGCATATGGTTGTAAGTATCTCAGAATGAAGTAAGTTATCTCATCCCTCAGTCCAGTTATTATCTTGAAGTTGTTGGTTCGGAATGTTTAATACGGCGTTCCCACTCCATCGCCGATGAAACCCAAAGGAAGTTGAGTAAAGCATCCGATTTTTACTTTCTCCCACATTGGTGTGTAGATATAAAAACCATCATTATCACAGCCAATACGTCGCTGAACCTTGGTGTATTTGTATAATGGGGCACATTCTAACAACAGAACCCCTCCTTCAATTTGAATTGGGGGTTTACCACAACTACATTCTGCTTCAACGAAACTTTTAGGAATTCGATTCTCGTCATGGTTCAGGATGTAGTATACTGGACAAATGTGTCCGTCATATCGGTTGACAATGTCTTCTATGGTTGGACACTGTTTTGGACCATGCATGTAACTGCGATGTGTAGCTATATAAGGAGATGCGGAGGTCGTGTTGACGATGTGGTCGTTCATGGATGGTAACTGGTAAAAACTATCATGAAGTTCGTCCACGTCCAGTTTGATCTTGGACATATCCGGGTCGACACACGTTTTATTATCAATGGGCATGCTCCTTCCTCCCGAACTTAACAATGATACCATTGCTACGAAAAATAACTGAAAAGAGAATTCATAAATGCATGTAAAATCTTGAAAAACATATTTTGTTTGTGTTATTAGAATCGAAAATTGGGGTGTTCTAGAGACAATTCCATTATTCTCATGGACTAACAGAAATGCCAACGCCGAAAAAAACGTAAATAAGCATAAAAGTTTTCTGTTCAGTCGTTTAGAAAATCATCAAGCCTGATCTGTAAATAAGCTTATCGTTTCTTGAAAGTTGTAATTTTGCATAGAGTTTCGAATTAAGTTCATTGATTTTTTTTTTGAAAACTCTTACCTTATAAGCCATGTTAGATTTTCAAGAAATGAGACCTATAGTAATATATGTCTAAGACTGAAATATGATATGTGAGCATTATTGAAGAGCAAGTATTTATACCAATTGGTGACAGGAATTAAACAGTTCCGTAAAGTAATAAAGTAGTAATATTTATAACGGTAATAGTACTATAGATATTGTTTTAATAGCCCTACCAGGTAATGAAGGTAATCTTCCCACCTTTTTAACCAATTATATTTACTTCCCATTTTGATCTTAACGCCCTGGGAAAAATAAAGACCTCGAATTCGTCACGAGTCGAATTAATAAAAACATTATCAGATTTAGAACTTCAAATTGATTATAAGATAATCAAACCTTACACCTTCTTGGGATCAAACTCCGCACCTTATGTTAGCGAGCATGTTTCTAAAGCTCAAAGCCAAATTGACAAATAAAGTTTGCATGAAACATCCGACAACTTAATGGTATGACCACTGCATATTCTAGAAGCCATAGCGGCGCCAGTGGGGATACAGGGGATCATGTTTTCACGTTTAGATGATCCAATTCAATTTTATTTTTCAATTCTCAGACGCTCCATTGGAGGCTTACGTCTGCGGAGGTCCAAAGAGCTGCAGCATTTTGAATTAAATCTACCCCAAAACTCACTCCAACCCTCCCACTCTCCCTCCCCCTCCCCCTCCCCATTTACCTTCTGCCTTCTATTTGTACGCCGCCACTTTCTATGAGAATTTCACACCACTTAGAAGTACAATATAAGTGACATCACCGCTAGCAACTATTTCAAATGCCAATAACTCAATAACAATAACATGCTGCTAAAACATGTTTCGGGTGCAAAATCTGCATCAAGAGAACTAGGACGACAGTGGGCGTGAAGGCGAGGGTGGGCGTGAGGGTGCGGGTGAGTGTCTGGACGTAGATGTGAGGGTTAGAGCGAGTGCGAGAGACTTAATATGAATGTAAAGATTATGATCTTATTCTACAGCCCCTTTAAAAAAGGCATTGCCTTTATATTTTAAACCATTACGACGGCATTGTTATCTTTTTCATTATTTCTTGTGGCTTTTGTTTCCCTTTTAAATCTAATTTTATTATTAATAAAACACTGAGAAGGGACCATAAAATCATCACTACATATATATACAATCAGAAATTTTCCATTGATGACTAATATTTCAATAGATAAGGACATCCTACTTTTGCAAAGTCATAAAAATTTACACAAATATTATAAACCTAATCTGTGTATATTTAGATGTCAGAACTTCCCAACTCTGTAAGTAAAATTGAGAGCCTTTGTCATAATGACAACGTAGTTTCGTTGTTTAAATATTTGCTTCATCAACTGACAACGTATATCGTCTCTTGAAATTTAAATACCACACAAGGGCGAGGCTTTTATGCAATTCAATGCAATCCTACAGTGGACCTTTGGACAGGCGTTTCCAGATCATTATTTGCAAGTATATTGTAATTGGGGGGGGGGGGGGGGGGATTTGTCTAGGAAGTCTTCGGAGTGGAATGTGTCGCAATGATTACGAAATTTATATTTATAGGCCCATGTGACCAGTTGTATTTTAAATTTTCCTATTGAATGTGTATTGTTTCTAAATTAAGAGTATCAAGTAGTCAAGGAGGAAGTGAAACTCAATCGTTAGATATCGATCTTTACCTTGATTGATTGATTAATTGATTAATTGATTGGTTAATATTTCTACAGGAAACACAGATTTACCTTATCCGTCATTGTATTTTTATTATTCACGAAATTTCTTCAATGTTAGTTTGTCATTCAAAACATTGGCTTCCTTTTTTAAATCAAACCTGGATTTTCTACTTCTTTATGCTTCGACATTTTAATGATGTGAATATACGAGGTGTGGTATGCATGAAGTTAAATTTGATAAGCATTTCTTAAAAATTCTGTAGTAATTCAAAATTTTCTAGTAGTAAACCTTCAATAGATCCAGTCAATGACGTTTGTTCCTTAAGGTTGAAGAGTTACCGTATATTACTCGATTTCGCAAAAAAGTTCACATGAAAAATATACAATTAAATTTGATACGTAGATCGTCGTTATAAATTTATAATTTGGCTAATCATAGGAAATATTGGATCGCAAAAATGCGTCATTTTAAGTCGCAAACTGCGATGCTATACCTCTAAAATTGAGCCCTGCATCTGCTAGGTGATAAGGTGCGGTGGATTCGAGTCATCCACAGGAAAAGAAAACATATTTTTCCACGGCCAGAGCTTCCGAAAGCCAGCTATACAATTCAACAGATATGAGTATTTAAATTTTAAATCTCGGCAGGATTCTTTTTTTTTTGGAAAATAACTAGATGTACAATTCGTCGTATACAATATAAGTTAAGTCAAAATGTTCTCATGGGGTTCATATGAAATGTGTCGAAACCTGCATTCGAAATAATATGCTATATATACAGTGTCATTATGTGATCGTGATAGTGATATAAATATAGCTTAGAAAGAGCCAGGGTATTTTATGAGTTGTTGAATGTTTCGGAATCAAAAGTTTTGGAATAAAGAAAATTCAATAGTCAATTGAAAAAAAGCCATGCGTTCTACTCCTGTGTAGGTCTTACTTTTAGGGGTGAGAAAATGTCTATTCATCTAATAAATAGGCTAGAAAATTCCACCATTAGAATACCATACCAAGTCGTGATAAGGATTACAAATTGGACTCAATATAGACCATCGACTTGATAAACAAATATTTCAGCATTCTTCTTTCTTGTCATTCATAAGTTTATAAAACTATTTATAATGGTTAGGAAATACACATGTTCTTTGGTGAAAGAAAACCTTTAAAGGGATTATAATCGGGTTGCACTGAATGTGTATCTATTTGCATTATTTCAATTTTCTGTCACACGTCCATTTATGTGACTAGATACCGTATAATTTCGAATATTACACGCACCCGTCCTTACCCTCCAGTAAAAAAAAGTTACCATAACGCAGACACCATAATATTGGAAGATCAAGCAATTACGAGTCAATTCTTTACCTAAGAACACTGCTGACTCAAACTTCAGCAAGATTTAGGTCAGAACATGGTCAGTTGGGGTTCTTATTCTTCATATAAGAGACATATAATTTCTGAGAAAACAAAACATATCGAGATCATAGAATTTATATAGTTTAATAATTCTGTACATCATAATTATATAACTTCTCCATATTGGAATGAATATAAATAATAATAATAATAATAATAATATATGACAATAACAATGGATGTATTTTCCAGTCACATCCTATGATGAAGATAAAATGCTGGGCTCTTTGCAATTGACATAAAAAATTGATCGAATATGCTCGGAGTATGTAAACTGGTGAACATTTCAAATTTGAATGCCATGGTTCACAATTTTAAGAGGTTGAATTGGGTTAGCTTGGAATATATGTTAATAGTCTTCAGAAGTAAAATGGTGAACTACGAACATTAAGAGCAAGTTGTCCACCAATGAAATATTTAAATGTACAGCACTGTTTCAAAGGTCGATTTAAACCTTAAATATATGCAAGTTATCTTCGGAAGTAAGATAGTGAACTATGGCCTTCAAGAGCTATTTGTCCAAAGATGTAATTTTTAAATCTGAAGCTCTGTTTTATTGGACTCTAATATTGAAGAGTTTATTCCCATTCCTGCTCTGCTGTTATCCATTCATCATCTTCTATAAAGGATTTATCTATACACCTATATCATAAAACATAATACAATATGATTATAGAGTCTATATTATAAACATACAGTTTTATTGAATCAGAGATTATTAACAAATATTGAGAAGCACAAAACAGAATATATGTGTCAATGAACTGAAAATTTGTTTAACTGCACAATCATATCAGGAAATTTAAAGAAAAGGGAAAATAAAACTCATACCTGATCATGAAGTCTCCACAGAAAATACATTCTGATGCTACCAGATTATCTAACTGGTTCTGAAAAATATCAAACACAATATCAAAATTATAAACATGATACAGGTTCTTTACTCTTTGAGCCTACCTTTGGTCATTAGGTCTATGACAAACTTATATACATTCTAGGGTATAGACACCACAATAGGAGTACCCAATATTCCATAATCAGCAGGTAATCCAGAATGGGATTATCTTCACAATATAGCTTCCCTTTAACATTTTATAAATGGGTTCCAGAAGGTGGTGAAAACATTTAACAGATCTATAAGGCTGGGAACCAAAAAGTCATAGATTAAAGATTTTATAAACTATTTATTTTCATTCGAAAATGCCGCGAATTGATGTTGAGGATCCGCCATTTTGTCTTCCTTCATTGCCATATTGTTATGTTTATAAGATCGTTTAGGAAGTTATAATAACTCATTAGACTTTAATGTATTTATAATTACCTTGGTTTCTAAATCTGATTGTTTTGTATTGGTGCTTGGTTTGCGTAATCTAGAATCATCTCTTTCAGCTAATTTACGTTGTAAAGCATCAACTTGACCTTTCTTAGAACTCGGTAAACTTGGCAGCACCTTTAATAGAGGTCATTCAATCCAAGGTTTAGCAATACACATTTCTTTGTTAGTAAAAAAACTTGAAAAAAACCCAACCATTTGTTTAACATTATAAATTTAGGTTCATGAAGATCCTTTCATCAGCTGGTCCTTGGCAAAGCAACTTGGCATTGATCTTTCCTGGATTATCCATATGCATAAAGTTGACTGGAATAATGAAGAAAGATGACCAGTTCATGGCACCAGACTTTCACACAGCAACTGAGAGTAAAACTAATGACCACTTTTGTTTGATTAAACCAATTAAATGACCTTATTCCAACTGTGCCTATCCTCAAAGAATTGTAAGAATAATTTGGCAATGGAATAAGATGTACCTGTACCCAATATCCTAAACCAGAGCCCAAATAAGAATACATACTCTCTGAATAACAATAACCTTACCTCAGCTATTAAACAATCCATATGGAATTTATGTTGGCATGGAAACAAATAAAAGGCTCGCACCATCAGAGGATAATTACAAGCTGAACATTTATCTTCTGCTTTTACAAATGCATATCTGAAATACAATGAAACAAGTTCCTTTACTTTTAACTTTTCTGCACCTTAATATGTAATTTATGCTGACTGAGCAGCTCCAGGACATCTGTTCATTATGTTTCTTTGGGATACTTCCCAACACTACCTCTCAGTTATGTAGTTTCCTCACCCTTCCTTTAATACTGAATTTACTTATCTGATTTAGTCTATTATATATTTTAAAAATTCGAGGATCTAAAAAAACATAACTTTTTTGTAATCAGAGTCGTAAGGCCTCTGACCCACCAGTCTGCCCGGTCACTAATTACTGTAGCAGTATAAACCAATCAGATTCCTTGAATTTATTTAGATGATTGACAGGGAAGAAAAAGGGAAATCTTACTTATTCCTAAAACTCTGTATTTCTTTTCTGATTTCTTCAGCACTTTGAGTGGCTTCTTCCATCTCCTCTTTTAGAGAGTCTATATGTTGATTATATTCTTGTAGTGAGGTGATAATGGCTTCCTAAAACATATAATTAAACTGTTGACATGACTGTTCTTCAAATATAAGTAAGTTCCACCTTTCAGCATCTACTTGGGCTAGTGATGGAAAAGTCATGCAATGTGCCTTTTAGGCAGCACTATGGCATTATTATACTCTGATTTCTAACATTAGAGAAATCTTTATAATGTTCATCGCTGACCCTTCCTAGACCTATCTTATCCGGGTGACTGTTATAAGATGCATCTTCATAGGCTCTCTTTATCTTCATTGCAGAGAGGCATTATGTCAACTTTAACTGAGGATTGAAATTAGTAAATGGAAGTATAATAATATCACATTACCTTAAAATGATCAATAGTAACAAAATCAGGGAAGAAAGGTAAAATATCTTCTATCTTTAGTAAATCACAATCATGCAGAAACTCCATAGCTCTTTTTACATCTTTTTCTTCTTCTACTACATGTCTTGCTATAAATGACAATGTACATCATGATAGTTGTACATTGTGATAGTTGTACATCATAATAGTTGTACATTATATAGTAGTTGTACATTATGATAGTTGTACATTTTGATAGTTGTACATGATAGTTGTACATGATAGTTGTACATGATGATAGTTGTACATGATGATAGTTGTACATGATGATAGTTGTACATGATGATATTTGTACATGATAGTTGTACATGATGATAGTTGTACATGATAGTTGTACATGATGACAGTTGTACATGATGATAGTTGTACATGATAGTTGTACATGATGACAGTTGTACATGATGATAGTTGTACATGATGACAGTTGTACATGATGATAGTTATCATTTGTAAAGCATTGTTAATGAAAATATCAAATTCAGACAAATTTTGTCAAGTTTTCTTTCATGTGATGATGTAAGTTTATGAAACACAAGTTACCTATTCTGAGCCATAGTTTTTTTCTGATTTCATAATCATCTTCATCAGGCTTGTCTGCCATTGATTTAGCTAATTCTACATCTACCTGTAATATAGAGGGTTTCTGATATTGACTGAATTTGCCGATCATGTCTGATATGATAGGTATTTTTTTTTATTCCATGCTCACAACCACAGACAAGAAAGAGGAAGATTGTTAACCAAGATTTACTCGGTTTTTATGTTTATTCTTTGCTATGATTTTATTAGTCCCTCATGTTCATATTGTTCGATCAAGGGCTATAACTCTTGTCCTACTTACTGAAAGAGCCATATCTACAGCTTCTTCATATAATCCCATTATAGAGTAGACATAAACACAGGCTTTAGTATGTTTAGATTCAGTACATAATCTTAGAGCATATTTTACATCATAACAAATCATGTCCGGATTCTAGAATATAGATTAAAAAAAAATAAACATGGAGGTTTGCAGAAAATGTAAGATGAAACAAGACCAATTTCATATAACACTGCATAGACAATGTGAACTATGTGATCTCTCAGGTATTTCAGAAAATTAGCTTTGACCTCACAACTGTCTTTTTCTGATGATTTCAGCTAATTCCCTCTTTTTCAAAACAACAACCAAACTTTTGTGCCCTTTTTTTAAATTATGTATCTAATATCCACCCAGATCACCTTAGCCTTATTCTAACTTGGATTGCGCTTCAGACTAGTTTATCTGTTCTAATAAGTCCTTTAATTATTAGACTCAATTCTAAATTACTTGTATTAAACTAATTCATTACTACATTTCCAAAAAATGTTGACATTATCATCATTATTATTATTATTATTATTCTCACCTCTCCCTGTAGTTGAAGATATAACATTAAATTATCAGGTTGTATTTTAGCGTACAGGGACACGAGATAATTATGTATAGCTGTATCTTTATTATCTAACTGTTGTACACAATATTCAAGATATCTTATAGCTTCATTGCCCTGCAATATATGTGGTTTTTTCTGTTATTTCCATGAATATAATTGTTTAAAATGAAATCAGGTGATAGAAAAGATGAAATGCCATTTTAGACTCGTAATCTAGTGAGAATAAACAATACCTGTTCTTTATATTTCTCCTGATCATACTGTACGAGAGCTGGTATTAATTGTTTAGGATCTAGTTGTCTCCCCTGTTTAATCCAAGCGTTGACCGTCTCTCCAGGTGTATACTGCATTAGTATTGGTGAAAACTTATAATATAGATCTACATCATTCTAGAAAATAGAATAGAAGGATAGATATATTATCTGCCGCCTATGAGAGTCGTTGTCTACCAGTGTTTAAATTGAATACGAGGACAGACTGTAGCTCAATTAAGTCAAGTCAATTAAAGTGTAGGAATCTTGACATAGGGAAACTGGGTTAAAAAATCCGAAGGTACTATCTCGACCTATGCCGGGATTGAACCCTGGACCTTCAGGCTCCCTTCGTAAAAAGTAATCAAGAGAGTTGTTATCAATGTAAAAAATGGTTGGTTGTTTCTTTCTTTTGAACTGTGAGTGTTTCATACTGTTTCATATTGTTTACATATCACCTAGGCCATGAAGATTTCAACATTTTAAATACTGACCTGTTTTTCAACCAGCACTTCTAAAGCTCGTTTGTAATTTTCATGTTGTAAATGATGGGAAATAACTCTCTCATAATCTACAATAAAATATCAGAAATTATGATAGTTTCAATGGCCCTGTAACAAACAAAACTTGACCTGAGCATTTGATTGGTTCATTTTTAAACAATCAAGAACAGGAGATGCATAAATATTTGTGAGATCATGAATGACTAGTGTAATAGCCAGATAAAAAACACCAAGCAAAACATTCAGATTTGCACTTTAATCAGATTGTCTGAAAGTAAAATAGATACCTTCTCTCTGATAGAAGAAATTGAACTTAATAAGCAGGTACATCTTTAAGACATGTTTATGTAACAGCAAAAACTCAAGCCAAATGAACCATCCATGTACCAAAATGAATACACTGCTTACCTTTCATAAGAACAGCAAAGAAGACCATATCCTCTACATCACCATGACTTGCTATAAGATCATACACAACACCTCGATTATCACTTAAACACTCCTAGAAATCAAAATAAATTACAATTTTTTAATTCTTTCATTCACATAATATGAGTTTTACAGTTCTCCATTGCTATTCTCACTTTCGGGAGGTAAATATAGAACCTAGATTATACTCACCTTGACCTTCAATTGACCTAGAAAAGATCTGAAATCATCCTGGATTTCATTAAATTCTTCTGACTCATCCTGATTCTGTTCTTTCAGTTCTCCCAGTTGATTTAAATATAATTCTATTAACCAGGTTACTAACATTGTCATCTGAGTTTTATCCTAGAATATTATCAACACAACATGTTATATTAAAGCTCAATTTTAAGGAAATGATTGTAAAATGAATTAGTATTGGGGGCAGGGAATTGTTGTCAGAATAAGTTACTGGATACAAAAATGGTTGTTTAAACACATACCTGGTTTCTCAAAGATGTCAATTTTTTCATTACAAATGTTTTTAAAGCCTCTTTCTGGGGAAGACGAATAAATTTTAAAGCAATTTCTTCAAAGGAATTCTGGGTAATGGCATACAAGGCAGCACTCTCTTCATATCTAAAAGGAAAACCATATTTTTAAATATAACCATTTTTAGATAGTGTAGAATGTAACAAAAATAATCCACTTCATTAAACTGAGCAGAAATGAAAGTTTCTTAGTGTTCTAATTCCCTCCTGGAATTTCTGAATTTGACTGTATGTGCCAGTCATGGCTGGCTGGAGCTATAAAATGTCTATGCAATCTTATAAACAAAGATATACCTAAGCTGAATTGCATTAAATAGTTATCTCACATACTTGCTCTGATATCAAGACAACATAGGCACATTTGGTCTATCTTTCCAACCAAAACATATGGCCCGGACGCGGCAGATAGCACACTTCATAGATGGACAAGGCAACAAATCTTCTGATTCAATAGCACAAACTAACTATCATCCCTTTCCACCATATTAAAACAACCTACCTGTTTTTATTGAAGAGAAACTGGGCTTGTTTGGTTAATACTTGATTTAACTGAGATGGGTTGTCCTAGAAAAATTACAGAATAAAAAAAATTACCATGTAAACAATATTAGCTATGTGTACTCTAAGAAAGTATGCTGAGATGATAAACTCAGTTGGAGCAAATTTACTAAAATACAATGATTATTGTGGAATAAACTAAATGAGTTTTTGATATTTGAAAAAAACAATGTTAAACTATACTATTTCGATGACAGAATAAATAGCCCTTACCTGACAATATTCTTTAGCAGATTCAAAATCTTCTTTTTCTAGATACATCTGCCACACATCTCTATAATAATAATATAGTATAGTTATATTTTAACACTGGACTTCAGTTTCATCATTCATTTCATCATTCAATTATCTTTTGAGTACAGTGGATCTTTGTGGTCAAGAAGTCGTTGTGCTTACAAACAGACCGAAGAACAGGTATAAAATGTGTACAGCCTGTACCAGGATGACTCTGAGAAGCACTGGCAATAGCATCAGACTCTTACCTTGATGAGGAATTGAACCCATGGCACCTAATCGACTAGCAGATGATCCAACTCTCTACCAATTCATCTATTCCACTGCCACAATATTGATCTCTCTGATTTGTATCCTTGTTGAGGATTATGACAGAAACAAATGACACAAGACAAAAAGAAAGATAACTAACCTATCTTCATGTGTGATTCTATATTTAAATACAGAATTAGTGGTATAGGTCCATATTGTACCTCGTATAGGATCTTTACATATACCTAATACTTTACCAAATCTCTATAATATACACCAATACAGAAATACATGATATTAAAATATACTTTCTGTGTGATATATTGCATTTGCTATATTGTGAATGAACAAATTACTAGATTTAGACACTGATTTTTCTGTCTGTCAAAGATGTCAGTTTTTTTTAACTAACCAGAGCTCATATCAAATTTCAAATTTGATTTAGAAACACACTGGAAGACTGTAGCAAAAAGTAATAAATGATGATATTTTTTTCATAGCTAATGTACAAGAGCTTATTTAAGACTTGTTATAGTAAAAGTGTTCGAACCAAAGTGTTCAGACTATGTATTTAACTTCCTTCACTAGAACAATCAATGAAACATGGCAGAGAGATGACAACAATACCTAAAGACCTATTAATGAGAGTTATAATGGAAAGAAATAGTTACCTCATTCACAAATAAATCATCATAAATTGTTTGTTCATTTAATGTACACACAGCTTTTAATCTGGAATAAATAAATGAAATAATGAATGTATGTATACATGAAATGATGAAAGAATCATTGTTTATAAGGTTGTTATTTAGCTAGTTTTAGTGCAGAATAAATGACGGAATTAATGCATCATCAAATAAGTACTGTGTGGAAATATAGAAATGCCCATACATATGTTGCTCGTTAGGCTGTTGTTTCGTAATTTTTAGTCTATTCCATCCCCAAAATACCATATATCCTGAGCATTCTTACCTGTCGGCAAATAATATTAAGACATGGAATTCTGTCATCACCATGGAAACAGGTTTTCCTATATCTACTTTGTCTTTAGGATATCTAAATTGTAGTTAAGGTGATAAGCTTAGACAATTGATCTATATTGAGCTTTATATCATTCTTAATGTTTATAAATAATTTAGGAATTGATATTTTCTCATGAAATCCAAAGACCAATTGTGTGGTATAAACAATGTCAGGTTTCACAATGCCAACAGTGTTTTGGAGAGACTGATCACAAGAATTCAAGTTGAATTTCAATACAATTTAAAATATCTTGACTCTACCAGACTAATAGTCTCATTTCAATTCAAATGAAGTCACAGACAAACAAGACTAAAATCAAATTTGTAAAGTTTAAAGGGTACGGTATAAGTTTAGTATTTGATAAAACTGAGTTAGCTCCAGCACTACCAGTAGTGTCTATACTACCATAATAAACTCCAGGACCTAGACAAATAGAAACATTTGATATAACTAGTCACAATTGCCTAGACATAAAGGCTTATAATTGTTCTTGAATGGGCTGAGGTGATCAGGAAAAGCCATGCAGTGTGCAATAGTCACAAATTGTCCAACTCTTTTGTGCCTTTTAACTGTTGAAGAAAGTATTGCCCCATCTGAAAGAAACTGGTGGTGCTTTCCAATCCATGCCAGAATAAAATAGAAACTCAAAGGTAGGAAGCAAATGCATAACATGACTCCCTTATATGTCCCTTAGAGACTGTCGAAAAAACAGGTTGGGGAGCTCCCACCAGGCATGGCTGGCAGATGCAGGTAAATCCACAGCCCTGATTACAATATGTCTTACCTGTCATCCAGGCGAATGTTTGTGCAGGTTGTCTGAATTTAGGGAAATATAAATGTAGTTCACTATAACCAAAATCACCAGGTAATTCTATAAACTGTACATGTTCTGTCAGAAATAAATAAGAAATAAGTTGGTATATTCTAGGCAATAGCAATGACACACCACCATGCAGTGTGCAATGAAGGAGATATGAAATGTGCAACAAATATGTTACTATCATGGTTTTCATTTGATAGTCTAGTAGATGTTTAAATTCTTTAGAGGAAAAGTTAAAGGGTTATTTCCCTTGTTAATAATATTACAAAAGGAAAATTTATGAAATTTAGCCATAACTTACCTGATCCTGTTTCATATTGGTGAAAAAGAGAATAAAACATGGGAGGTTCAGCAGACGTAGCTACATTTCCTATAAACTGATAGAGTCGACTGAAAATTGAACAAAAAGATCAAAACCCATTGATACTTTGATTGTATGTATACTAGACATCTTCGAGTTGACCAAATGTTAGATTCTAATCTCTTCCACCTAATAATATTAAAGGATTGTCAAGAGCTTTACTTTAGCTAAGGTAAGATATGACATCATAATCTTTAAAATTTGTTTGAAGAACTCACCCTGGAGTTGTGGCCAGTATATAATATTTATAATCATTCATAGTAGGTCCTGGTATTCTATCAAACTGTAGACTAGTTATACATACAGCATTATCTTTACCAATATTAAATAACTACAAATAATAAACATTACAATTTTCATTAAGTAATCAAGAGAGGCTATATATAGTCACTGATCATACACTGATATATACAAACCAAATGGGAATGGTACGACTCCAATTTCTCTCTCATGGTTTTATTGTCAAGAACTAGTCTTATAAAGCATGTTTTGATCTGGGAAATGAAGTAGTGTGAAATCAACCACATTAGTAATTCTGTGATTTTCTATCGTAAAGTCATATAGAACATGCACAGACAACAATAGAACTATAAATATCTGTTTTGAATATAATGGAATAATTTAAAAGACAAAAGCGATCATCAAATGAGAGGCACATAGTACAAAAAAAATATGATAAAAATAATATGACACATAAATGTATAACATTCAAGATACAAATGACAACAGCTGTTCTGGAAGACAAAGCCGTCAATGTAGAAGAAAGACAACATTGAGATAGCTATGATGTTATTGGCAATTTATGTTGATGTTATTATCTGCTTCAAGCTCTGGGTTTTATTTACCAACTCTCCTCTCTGAGACTGAAGAAAGTAATATCTGTTAATCAATACATTGTGATACAACATGTCACGATACATGTATTGTATCACATTATCTTACATCTATACTTGACGATACCAAGCCTTCTAGATAAACATGTATACACATATAACTAAACGCTGTCCATATATATGAGATATTCCATTCAAGACGTAAATGAAGCTACAGTAGCGTGATATGTATCATATTCTCACATGATTGACAACATCCAGCACTAAATGACAGAATGATGACAATGTACGACTGTATGTGTTTGTATGAAAACAACAAATTTTCATGCTATTCATGCTACCACTCACCTCATGTGGTCTACAGGCTAGCTTTAACTAACAAATTATACTTATATATATATATTGACAGTTAAAGGGATATAGCCATCTTATTCTATTATACAGCTGATAGAGATCAATTTCAGATATTCCTAGCATTTAGAATGTGAATTAAAGGCCCAGTTTTCATGTAATCAAAACCTCACTGCTCTGCTAGGGCGTTAATTACAATGAAGACATATCCTTAATATCTTGCAATAAGACTGCATATGGCACCTTATCGAATTTCTGGTTTGAATTTCCTTCACCTCTATCAGCTTTATTAAGAAACATTTAGAAGGCTATATCCCTTTAAAGAATCCCTGTACAAAATATAATTCAATATCATCCTTCTCTATTTTCAATAATGCTAATTTTTTTTTTAAGTACAAGATTCCACATTCTTCAAAGTATATAATCTTAAAAATCTAAAATGTCTATATGACCTACCTGTTTTAAATACTGATCCAATGAGCCTTGGAAAAATTTACTGTCCTCATGTGATGTTAACTCAGTTTCAAATATTATACCTACAATATAAAATACATGTATATCACATGACATATTAAACCTTCTACTTTCACTTCCAAAATCAAGTTAGATGCATTCTCTGTCTTCCTAGATAAGAAAATTCTCAAGTGGAAGCCCCCCTGACACCTCACCATGACTAATGTCCTCAAAAATCTGTAAAGGGATGCCAGACGCTCAGATCATCCCCCTGTCAATGAAACCGTCATTACACCAATAGTTGTGTATTAATACTTTTCACTTTACAATATAACTGTAATGATTCATAAAGTATTACTAATGAAATAAACTTACTAATATGTACTAACCTTTACTGGTACCTATTAATATTGCACTAGTTGTATTATCATTAGCATTCTGCCAGTTCCATCCTACACTCTCTATATGATGACCCTAGAAGTGACCCATTAATTGAACTAATTAGTGTCATTTTTAATTCTTTTTTAAAAAAAGTTAAAATTATGGTCTTAGAAAAGGTAAAGAGAAAGAACAATATCACTAAAGAGTAAAATTAACCTTCAACTTAGATTACACCTACCTTTAATTTATGTATAGATTTAGGTTTCTTACTGTTTCTAGATAAATAATAACATTCTGTAGACACCATACTTATTATCATATGACGTCCAGTTGGGTCCAGAAAAATCTTATGGACTTTATCTTCTACTGCTTTAGGTAATTCAACCTCTAAAATAGACAATGACAAAGGTTTTTGTAAACAATCTTGTCTATCAGTAGAGTGACTGGCTTTACAGTTTACATTAAACATTAGTAGCTATGTGTAATCCAAATAAATTGTTAAGTTAACTTGCCAACTCAAGGCACAATTTAAATGAAGGCCTATCATGGCCCTAATTCTATGAATGGGCTCTACCAATTAAACATTTCATACTGACTGTGTGGCTGCATTTTTGGATTACTTCAATAATTGGGGGTGTCAAATAGACAACTGGCATAGAATATCCAGCTTTGCATGTCAAACGAAGTCGGCTGAATTAAAGACTTACTTACCGTCAGGTTGTTCAGGATGTTCTAAATCTAATCGTAATAATATATTACTGTTCATAGCCATTACTAGAAAATTATTACTCACTACCAGATGGGTTAGCTGATCTGGTGGTCTGAAATTACAGATGTAAATAACTTTTCTTTTCTATTACAACAGAATCAGGCTAGTCACTAGCAATTTAGCCTACAAGTGGACATATGTATAGCTTCAAATACCACTCTTTTTGCTTTTGGCACTGGTAAAACTCAGTACTCTTAATTTAGTTAAAGTTCTGTTACTTTGTTTCTGTTTTCAAGGGACAGTGCAAAAGTTTTCTACACTTTTTGTGTGTTTTAGGGACATTGTCTTTGATAGAATTGATTTGCATCATTGAATTTTTTTAATTCAGTCAGATGTCTGTTCAAATCTACTAAGGATTTTATGACGTCACCAATACAATCTCTGTTTTAATATATCATTATTGACATTATATAAACTTTTGCGACAATAAAGTCATAGATGGTTTCTTTAATTACAAAAACCCCAATGAAGGAAAATTGGAATGATGCAAATGGAAGCCATAGAAATCTCTGAGTTTATTGTCTGTTAGAAATTATGCACCACAAGCTTTCACTTACTTAAAATTAACTTTCTTCTTGGTAAATATAGGTTGTTCTTCTGTGAACCGGGCATCAATAAATCCAGAACCAATCTAGAGGAAAATAATATATACTGGTACTAACATATTATAATGAACATGATTTCAATGAATGTTGAATGTTCTGATCACAAACTCAAACTTGAAGGAAAAAATATTTTCTACATTTGAGAGAATTGCGACTAGTACCATAACTGAAGAAAATTTACTGACTGTTATTGTTACAAAATATATTGATGTAACGTTTAGCAAAATTTACAAAATTATAAAACTGATCATATCTTTATATATAAATCTAAATGATGAGATATTTCTTACCGGTTCTTGATAGGAGGGTAAACTAGAAAAACTACCCCCACTGGCATTTCTAGCTGATTCTGCTTCATACTGATCTAATATTGATGTCATCTTGACTTCTTAATCTACTATACAAAAAGATTAAGAATATATAACAAATGTCTTTAACTACATACTGATAGGTTATTAGTAGGCCTATAACATTTTGATTGAAATGAATTAAATGAAATGGAGCTTTAATATAACCTACTTGACTTTTATGCTCTACTCTAGTTAGACTGAAATTACATGGCACCATAGGCCTACTTAGATTAAAATACTTGTACGGTACTAAATAAACATTTGACACTGCTCTGTGGTTGGATAAAAGTGGTAGGCCAAAGATGCCAATGGGACATTTAATTTCAATTGCATGCCCTATAAATTGATATAGATTGATTTGTTTATAAAAACTTTAACTGGATATGAGGGCTGATTCAAAAAGTGACATCTGGAAGAAGGCTGTGGAAATTCTAGTTCTTGTCAAGTTTGACATTTCAGAGACACCACTTTATATTTCGTAGTCCTATTATGATACATTTTCTAAGAGCAATTTGATTGAAATGTCATGATCATACCGTTTTCCTCTAGAAAAACTACTAAATTCCACCACTGCACAGAAAGTTGGATTCAGATTTTATCTTATTTTTCCATTTTAGTCATTTTTACATTTCCTCCCACTAAATATGTCAGAGTTTCGTCCCTTTGATTGATAATGTAAAAGTGATCCGTTGCTGAACAATTAGACCCGTTGATGATTGCTTGCTGAATGTATAGTGTATTAGCATAAGTCAATTTATAATTTTTGGGGATGTGCATATTATAATTGTTAGAAGAGCTGTTAAGGGTATCATTCAGAAACAGATACATTTCACATTATTATTTTCTTCATAGGCTTGTTGGCTTGCCACACCTTAGCATACTTAGATAAAATCTGATGTATCATATTTAATGTACATTATTATGCTATTATAGAGGAATTGCAACACAATGAACAACTGAGTTAATTTGGCAAGAAACAAGAGACATTTGGTTTACTTAGATAGTAGAGATATCCCATCTTTTAAGATCCCTCATACATTCTCCACAATGTGAGGGGTGGGGTGGGGGAGGGGAGTCAAAATAGGACTTCCTTTGAAATAAAGAGCGCTGAACTCCAAGTCTATATAACTTAAAGCATATAACATCAACCTAACTTCATTTGGTAATAGCTGCTTCATAGGCCTTTCGGGTATACATCATATATTGCCAGTCATGATCTTTTAACAACAGTGTACCATATTTATCACATCATGTTAGATAATGTCGTACAATGTTTCTAGTAAAAGAATATGATGGCTGGTAGCTAGGGTTGCTAGTTTGTAAAAGATTAAATAAAAGACAATCATCTGTTCATTGTTTTATTAAGATCGCTGTATCTTCCAGTGTGATGCGAGTTGATGTTTTAAGCAACACCTCCCATAAATGATACACTAATTCCTTCTTCATTTGGTAACAGTTTAACATCCCATGAATTCGCAAACATCACTGAAACATAATAATATTCAAATTATGTTTGGTTAAATCATTGAGACATTTCATTTTAAATAATGATACAAAACTTTTTTTCGACATCTGAATTTATCAGGCAGCACTTTTACTAGGGATCTGTTGCAAGAAGTATAACTACAGTAGAAAACCGTAAAGATTGAGACCAAAACATTACTGACTCAATAAAATTTTGTGAGCATAAAAAATCATAAATATATTACAGTCTTCATTCTATAAACAGGACAAAGGTAAGAAACAGTATTAGTTTACATAGATGACTTTTACTTTCTCAAAGATGCCATTTTTATATTACATTCTTGTTGGCCAACCTTTATGAAAATATTTGACAATGATTTCAGATATTGACAGTTTATTTGAGATACTTACAGACATCGCCTGGCTCTGTTTTCACACTGAATGAGTCACAGACATCTTCACAAGTCTTTCTGGGAGTAAATACTACAGTTCGTGTTCCCCATCCTTGTATATAGAATAAATCAGCAGCTTGATTTTCAGTCTGTAAGTAGAATTTAACATAATGGTAAACAGACTGAAGCAAGCTTTTTTTGTATATTGGGTACAACTTGCATCAATTGGTTTGCTTCCAATTTTCAGTCTGACATCTGTGATTCTAAGCATCTAATGATGCCACTATCACCAAAGTAGCTAATAATACCTTAGGGCCTTTGCCTTCACATTTGTGTTATGAGTATGTGATGTAATGTTATGAATATTAAGTATGTCATGAATATTAAGTATGTCATGAATGTGCATTCCACAGTTATCTGTAAGAAAAAATCGGTAAAACAAGATAATGAATTGGTCTGGCCTATTGGTATATCTATATTTTCATGATCTATATACCAACCAGGAGAATGCCATCAGCATGTGGCCCTGCTACATATAGACTTCTTGTTATGACGACCTCAATTTTCTTGGGATAGATGACAGGGCGTGGGAACAAGGTACGTAGAGTCTGACTTGTTGACATCCTTCTACTATTCCTAAAATACAGATAAGTCAAGATTTAAAGGTAGTTGTGTACAGTTGTAATATTAAGCAGACCATGCTCACTCTATGAAACACCTGATGGTACTTCTCGTTTGGGGAGTCTATTAATAAACAATTATTGCTCCTGATTTTATCACGTTTTGGACAGGATTTTTGGTAACTGGAACTGTTTTGCTTGTACAAATTTTATCAACAAATCTGATTGTAATGTGTCAGTCATCTATTTCACTCCCCTCAAACTTCTATTGTACTCTTCCATACAGGCCTGTAGCTCCCACAAATGCATACAAACTATAAATGCCAATCAAAAGTTGAGGGTATTTTTTATTTGCCAGTCAAAGTAAATCCAGTGTTGAACATTTAAACACTTTCAACAAGTTTGAAAGGTAGAATGTTTTTTTTTCTCAGAAATGGTGTGATATAGCTTATTTACTCATTCTCATTTTCAAAATAAAATTTCTTAGATATTGAAACTCTTATACACTAATATGGGAAAGTAAATCATACCATTCAACGTGAAAATTCTCTTCTTTATTCATCTTACTTTTTAACTCTATGTCATTAAGATCACCTATGTTTTTGATCCAATCTACACTGGAGTCCACTAATAATGATGGATCTTTTAAAATTTCATACTCATCTTGAACCAGTTTAATAACTTTTTCGAATGGAACTAATTCTTTCTGTAATCCCTGTTAAATTATCAAATACAACATAAATTTGATAAGGACAATCTGAGAAAGATATATGACAAGAAGTTTGGCACAAAGTTTGGCTATGGACAAAGTCATCACTTATTTGCATACTTTTCTTTGTTTATAAGTCAAAGTACAACATTTCTAAGACATCAAATCATATGTTTTCTTGAAGTAACACAAATATTCCTAATTTCTTCGAGAAATTTTAACATTTTGACAGTGGCGGCGCCAGTAGGGGTACAGGAGTACATTTGCCTCCCTAGAAAAGAAGTTTGCACCCCCAATTGTGCCCCCACTTTAATTTCAACAAATATACAATTTTTCTTCAAAATATGTGTCAGAATGCCCAAAATCAATAAAATTCATTTTTTCTAAAATTTCCTCAAAGACACTCTATGAGAGGCTTACGACTATGACACCAGCACAGCGAGTAGCCAAAATTTGAATTCAGTCTCAGCAGTTGTCCCCCAATTGAGTCAGTCTGCCCCCTATTTGTACCCCCAGTCTCGGTAGGCTGGTGCTGCTACTGCATTTTAAGCCCCTGTTTCTCAAAAATTCTTTCAATAAGAAATTGTCATAACAGTGGATTTTTAAATTGAGAAACACCTGACATGTAACTGATTTACTTTCAAGGAAAAGTTCTACTAACCTTAAAGAGGATAGGTATCTCAAAAAACTCCTTTCCTAATTCCTTTTCTTTCCTGAGTTTAGTGACACGAACTTTCGTTATTCCTTGACATAAACATTCATCTTCTTGATCATAGAAATATGGATTCGGCACGACACATTCTCTATTGTGATAGCCTGAAATTATTCAGAAAATAACAAATAGGGAGCCTATATAAATCAAATGTTAATATCTTAGAATTATGATGATAATTGATTATCAGTCCTCATATAGCCTATATAGGCCTAACACTCACTCATTGTAGAGGCAAAACTAGAATAGTGGGGGGCTGTGGACTTCAGTGGGTTAGGGCCTCTCTCTCAAGAAGTTTGCTTTCATTATGCTTTCCTTCATTTTTTTCTAGTGTGGGGACATGTGGACTCCGACACCCCCCCCCCCCACCCGCTCTTTTAATTTTCAAATAACTTACTGCTGATGTTGTAGTGATGTAGAGGTAGGGAGAGTAACCTCACAACCCTAAAGATAGGATAGCCGTAGGGTTGTAACATTTTATCTACAGCTTTGCCAAAGTATTCCGTATGGTTCGTCAATGTTACCAATCCAAAAACGGTAATAATGAAGACCAACCAAATACGAAAAACCAGACGTATCTTTATCCATTTGGTTCCTTCTTGGATATTCTTAGCAATTTTTTCAGTAATCTTACTGCCACTGGTCAATTTCTGACAAAACGCTTCATTAATGCATTGATTGATCTGCCCAGAAGACATTCCCCAATCTTCTCCCAATTTTCGCAATTCGGTGACTTCATATCGAACCTGTCGAAGAATTTGTTCGTCGTCTTTGACTTTAGGCTTAGACATTTTAGTCAGCTTCATTGATTTTGTTTTGGTGTCGTGGCACTGTTAAAGATTTGCTTCCCTTGATACGAGTACAGAATCGATCAATCGATAATGCAAAATGCGATAAAAAATAAAATATATTGCTTGAGCTTTAAAGGGGTTTTAAGAATTTGAAATACATGTAGATGAAGTCTCTATCTATTTAATAGTTCTATGGCATTATTATCATTTCGATACTTTGAAAGCATTGGAATTGCATCATCAGAATTCAGATCAAGAGCAAAAAATGTTTGTTGCAGATCACCGAGAATTTAACTGTAGTTTCGTTTTTTTCTCCAGAGAGGAGGATTAATTCCCTTGTTACGATCTTTTGCTTTAGAGGAAATTAAGGTAACCGGATGTGACAACCGTAGCGAAGGACGCCATTAAAATTTGTTTACATTGTTAGATATTTTAGTGGAGATTTTTCTAGAATTCGAGAAAATTTTCTTAAAAAGTGGGTAATCTGTGACATTTTCAAGTAATCATTTATTTCAGAATCGACAGCCAAAGAGACAAGAAAGGTAAATTTGATGTTATTAGGGAGATCGCTTACAGTGTTTTTTAGTAGGTTGCAGCTGCACTTTTTCAAATCAATGATTGAGTGTAAGAGTTGCATGCATAACTTGTTAACCTTCTGTCCCAGTGTCTTTTGTCTCTGTTTAGTTCAGTAGATCTGCTGGTAGTCTACTAAGTGTAAAGATAAGACTGCTAACTGATAAAGACAAAGACAGAACTAAATTGTATAGGCACAAATAATACCATGTCTACCTGTTTTGCCTGTAAATAGTTTCTTCATATGATAATCTAGCAAAAAAGATATTTTTTTGGTTAAAATGAAGGAGAGAATGAATTTATTTCAGATCACAATGCCGTTAATAACAGAAATCACAGAAGAGGAGACCCCTACAACTTCTACTGTTCAAACTAATACATTAGTTATAGAAAGTGTTATTGAAACGATTCCTGTCCCAAGTAAAAAAGAAGAGATATTAAAAGAATTAGAAAAAGAATCTATAGGTTTGTATAGGATTTGATCTACATGTAATAAAACAAAACCTTAGTTCATATTGAAAATAATATGTAGACTCACTAAAAGGTAAGGTGCCTTTATAAATTCAGAGGTAAAATGTTATCAGCAATTATTATAAGGAGAGCATGTTGCTAGTGATGGCTATCATGAGTATTATTGTAGTCTAAGGCTTAAATCCTTATATGATTCAAATTCTGATTAAAGAATCTACTTTGTGTGACATGAAAATCAAATATAAAAGAATTGTATAAAATGTTTAATCAACAGCCATCTGGCATATGATTACAATAAAAAATGTTCATTCTATTGTACTTAAGTACTAGTACTTTAAGTGTAAATTTTTTTGTCGGTCATAAGAAAATAAACAGCCTTATTTAATTCTATATCGTCATTTATTTCTATTATCTTGTCAAAGCCCAAAATAGGGGATAAAATGACCTTACTGTGAAAACATGTTATAATTTCGTATCAACAGAGAAAGTAGATGATTGTAAGAAGGAAGACAATGAAGAAAAAAAAGGAGGATCTGGTGACAATAAACAAACAGATAACTCACAGACTGAAAACAACAAACTTGAACTGAAAAAGTAAGTCAAGATGAAATTCTAAGTTGTTTATATGTATTTGTACTGCTCAAAAAAGGATCTTTTCAACCTATTTGATTTGAAATATCAGATCTTCAACTAAGGATTCAACTTTGATGTCACGTCTAAGCAAAATCTTCTTAAAGACTATTCAAAGCACATGCTTTTTGTATGGTAAGCTTATTTGTTTAATCTTATATTGCTGACAGTAATCAAAGTTTGCTCAGTAGTAGAATAGAATATTAGTAGTAGTAGTAGTATAACTGTAGACATAAAAGAAGAAAATTGATCATTAGATTTTATTTTATATTATGATTTTCAGTATCCTAACCAAACAGTTTTTAAAACAACATTGTAAGAAATTAAAGTTGTACTCTACACCATATTTAAATGATGTTCTTTATCTACATTTTAAAGGTAAGATACAAATATCGACAACAAAAATAAAGAGACAACCAATTTTTGCAAGTATTACAACTTGTGGGTTCACAAGGGTCCAGTCTACAAAACAGTCCTTGGCCTAACCTCGTAATATAAGGAAAAATGACTTCATTCAAAGTCACCAGACTTCCTTGAAAATCAGTCATGAGAGTTGGTACTTTGGGTTTCTTTAATTCTTCTCTGGTTGCTCTACTTGATTTATACTTATTTGTTATGGTGGAGTGGGATTCCATCTTAAATCTTTTCTGGCTTTTTCATTCCATTTGTAGATAATCATTATTTTATTCTATTTTAATTGCAGGAATTATGAAAATAGAGAATTTAGAAGAGTATACAGGTTTAAGATGTTTATGGCTAGAAACAAATGGAATTCAAGTTATAGAGAATTTAGATAATCAAAAAGAGTTGCGATGTCTATATTTACAGCAAAACCTGATTGAAAAAATAGAAAACTTAGAACCCTTACAGCAATTAGATACACTTAATGTTTGTAATAACAGACTTTCTAAAATAGAAAATTTAGGTAAGTAGCCTACTACTACAGTAGATATTTTTTACTTTATATGTCTATAGACATTCTCATAATTTACAACTTAAACAGTTTTTTTTTCCTTTTTTGTCAAGAATTTTGTTTGCTTAACGACTCTAGATCAAGATTGTAGATGGACAATTTGGAGATCTAATTAGACATAAGTGACACATTCTAGGACTATTGATTTGATTGTATTTGCCAGTCATATCTGACGTGAGCTCCTAAAATTTAACTTTGATCTAAAGGACATTTTATATCAAAATTAACAAAAAAATTTCAAATGGTAACAAGCCATCTTAATTTTTCAAAATGTTTCATGGTTCCTTTAATCATGTCTAAATTATTGCCTTCCAGCCTGTTGTCCTGTATTACATACTCTACAGATATCACATAATTATCTTAAAACAAGAGATGATATAGAGGAACTGGCCCAGTGTGATAATCTCGGAGTTCTAGATTTATCTCATAATAAAATAGATGATCCTGAAATCTTAGAAACTTTAAAACAGATGAAAAATCTGGTGAGTGAAAACTATGTATATAAATGTGTTGTCCTCTTCAATAAATTGTATAATTGTGAATAAAGTGAGCACTCTTTGTAACCCTTGAGTAAATTTGGAAAAATATCTGTCAACATAATAATAATATGCACCCTTCCCAGATGAAGAACTCAGCAACTTGGTATAACACAGACACCATCAGATTTGCCCTTTAGTGCAGCAGTAATACATTGCAAGTTTAGGAAATTAGGGAAGCCAAATTATTATTAGTAAACAAACTATACAGTAGACTCATCTGAAAGACGTTCATATTACTATCAAAATCAATTTCAAAATTATTGTTTATATTTATCATTGCAGAGAGTGCTGACACTTATGGGAAATCCCTTCATAAAGAAAGTTAAAAACTACAGAAAAACTTTCATAGCAAATCTTGTAAGTACATTTTAAATTTTACTTTTTCCTTTATATAAGCTTAGATAACAAATGTCCTAAAAATTTTATAATTGATTTTATACAAGTTTACATTATTTTATCAACAAAATGAATTTATAAGATTATTTATTTATTTTTTCAGAAAGAGTTGACGTATTTAGATGATAGACCAGTATTTCCTAAAGATAGAGCTTGTATTGATGCTTGGTAAGTAGACAGTTTATATATAGATACAAATATTTTGTAATACTCATTTGAAATAATATTACATGTATATCTAAATTTGGCAGAAAATTCTCCTGAAAATATGCCATTTGATTTTATTTGTAGATCGTAGTGATAAAGTTTAATTTTGGCTAATCATAGGAAATATTGGATTGATTATGATAAGTATCATAAATATATATAAATCAATGTAATGTGATATCAATCAATATAAATATTTCTATTTTATTCCTGTAGGTTTGTTGGAGGACCAGAAGCAGAGAAAGCTGAAAGAGAAAGATGGGTCAGTAGAGAAAGACAGAAATTACAGGAAAGTGTTGATGGTGAGTAAAGTGTTTTATCAAAATTGATGAAACTGAATCGAGTTGTAGATAACAATCTTGCAGAGTTATGAGAACAAAGTTAATCTTTAAAACATTGGTGTAGGAAATAATGACACAGGTATTTAACCTGTACTAGTCTAAACCAACTGTGAGTTTATCTGAAACACTTGTCAATGGTATGATAGGTGACACTAGATTTCTCTCAACCAAAGTCCCCAACGGACATTCTCTCTAACTTTCTTGTCAAAAAAACCACAAGTTGCTATTGTTATTTGATTCAGCTCTTCTTGAAATAAGACAAAGAAATGAAGCTACAACATTAGAGAATGAATTAAATGAAAAGAATAAGAAAGAAGGAATAAACGAAAGAGTAACAGTAGACCCAGGATCAGTAGACTGGTTATATGGTACTTATGAATATAAAACTGAGGGTGAAACAACTGAGACTGAACAGGTATCTCCATTTATTTCTTACATTGTGAAAGAAAGAAAGAAAAACTACAAGGATAACAACTTGGGTTAAGGAGGAATCTTTTAGATCTTTCCTGAATTATCAATAACCATTTATTAGCTAAATCAACTGGAATAATGAGGAAATATGACATATTCAAGGCCATGGTGCTTACATGCCCACAGATTTGCTTGAGGTAACCAAGGAAGCAACACCATGCAAAGATTCCAACACTCAGTTACCCAGACCATAGTAATACTAATTGCTTTGTATTGTTTAGAATGAAACTGAAAACACTGTGAAAGAAGAAAAAGAGGTTCCTACAGAGAGTATTGAAGAAATCCCATTTATAACTAAACAATCACATCAAGAGACAGAGGGCATATTTTCTAAACCAAGTATGTAACAGCTTGTTTTTTTTTTAAAGTTAAAGAAATGCATCGAATAATATGACAAAGATATGTTCTTTGAAAAGTAATCTGAGTTAACAATCTCATTTGAAGAATGGTAACAAGTGCTCCAGAAGAGTGGGATTAACCCGTTTCATTTACCTTTATTACAACAGAAGCTATTGCCATGCAGAGGAAAGATGAAAAATATGAGAGCTTACATTGAGCGACACTCAAATTGAAACCTTTTGTGAGCTCAGAGAAAATATATATGTTTAATTTCTATTACAGAAAGTAAAGGAACAAAAGTCTTAATAACAGAAGTAGAAGGTAAGATAGATAATTCCACTGTTCAAATCTGGTATCTGACATTGACTCATTGAATGCATTGATTTCATAATACGCAACTATTGACATGTTAATACTTTTATTACCTTTGGAACACTGAGTGGGAATGAAATATACCACGAACTCCTGGAAGTAGGCCATTGTAACGGCTGCTTCACCTTGCTCTTTAGTGGACTTTAGTGTTAAAATGGTTCATTTCCAAAATGAGAATAAACTTTTGACCTTTTTGCTGCCATTAAAAAAGATATATTGGTTTGAAATATTCTAAATATTGTTTGATTGTAGATGATGATGAAACTGAAGGAGATTATAAAACACCTAGTGGCTATCTTCAGGTAAGATAATTTATTCATTGAGGTATATAATGTGACTATTGTAAATAAATAAACAATAAAGTTCAATAAAACAATAAATAAAAGTTTGGTTCCGAATGCCTTCCATGTGCATCACACCTAAAAAAAAATGGGTAAAGACAAAATGGCCTAAAAAGGAATAAAAGGGTATAATTTGACATATATGGTTCTGTAGGGTCGATTGAGAATGGAAACAAATAGAACATGTCTATTAAAATTGGTATCTAATCTATGTTCATCAATTTCAGGATTTACCAGATTTAGAAGATGTTGATGTAAATGATGAAATTATTCTTCAAACCTCCAGAACACAGGTAAGTTATATAGGCTTACTCATTTCTAATCTCTACTTACTGTTTCATTTGAAACCAAAGCCTTTGTCTCATCATTCCGTGATATGAATTGCAATATGACTTTGTGCCATTTACTTTTTTCTGTTTTCATTGCTTAAATCGATCTTATGATTTGATTTTCTGAAAATTAATATTTTTTCCTTAAAATTTCAGAAAACAACTAAACCTAAAATAGAGATTCTAGAACAGACGGACAATACACAAACATGGGCATCTTCTGTCAAACCTTTAATACAGGAGTGTACTCCAGAGAGCACATCACAGACTGAATCCAATATGGCTGCATCTAGTACTGAAGCAGACGACACTTCCAGATGTAACCCACAACAAACCAAAGATTCTGAAGAAATTTTACATCAAATAGGAAATATGATGAATTTATCTAAAACTGGACTGAATGTTGGTGTTGTGAATGACTCAGAGGAACAATCCCAGAATAAAAGTTCTCAGTCAGGATCAAGTGTAGATCCATCCAGTCTTCTCGATGATGATGGTATTTTCGGAGAGTTAGATTAAAGATTAATCATTCATTGTCTTCATATTGTAACATTCAACATTATTTATCTATTCTTTTATCATTTTATTTTTCACTGGATTCACTCATTTTTTAATCATAACATCAAAAAATTATTCTTAATGGAGGCAATATTTGATATATTTAAGAAAACGCATCAGAAGTGATTCTTAAGAACTCTTGTATCTTCCAAGAAGTCACTGCCAACTTAATTTTCTTTAAAAATCATCCTTTGAGTTAGATTGACACACAACCTGCATGCATGTAAATAGTAAAAGAAATTTTCACACATTCAGTTTCAAAAGGGAAGAAATAGCCCTCAGTCTGAGTGTTCCACATACATTGATTTAAGTCCATCTCATGCTGCCAACCTTAAGTTAGGATTCACAATCTTAATCAGAAATGCTGATGTTTTGTTGAAGTTTTGCCTGAGTATTTTAAGTTAGCAAAACTATTTAATGTCCATGTATTATAGGTGCTGATATCATTTTCTAGCATTTACAATCAATAATTTATCAGACACACGTGTATCATATTTTATACTATTTATTATCTTGTTTCATTAGTGATATATATTTAATAAAACAGAATCAGAAATTCTATTTTTTTTTTTAAATAATTGCAATATCAGTTGCTTGTTAAGATATTTGTAACTAAAGTGCTCCACAGCAATATGGCTACATCGTACAAGATGTCCTAAATTTATTTTTCAACATCAGTTATCAGTCATGAATGGATTGTAGAGAGGTTTTCTAAAACTTTTGTGTTTTAGAGACACTGAAAGCATCCCTATTCTCCATTCCAATTTTCAATCAGGCCTTTGTGATTCATGCCATTCCACTTAAACTAGGCCTTTTATGATGTAGCTGTCCCAAGGGCCAATAGATATTATTAGCAGCTTTTCTGATGTCATATGATAATTACAGGAACCACAGACATCTGATCCCTTAACATTTCTTGTAATAACCATCAGTGGTGAGTATATAAGAAAGAAACAGTGGTAGTTATTTGATAGATGTTTATTTAATAGCCAAGATTTATAAATAACATCTCACAGCCTTACACAGTTAATAACTGATGATATACAAACATTACATAAATAAAGGCTCTTTATGATGTAAATTTCTTATTAGCACTCATAGTCTAACTTCATCTTATTCAAATTTGAAATCATACATTTGATCAGTTTTATTTTCTTAAAAAACTTCATCAATGTTTTGGTAACCAAACACTGCCCATCACACCTTAAAAGGACAGTTCTATTTCAATCAATGGTAAGAAGTCTCCCAATTTGTCTGGGACCATTTTAAAACAGCTAAAACCCTTTTTTGAGGGTTTTAGTTGCAGTAGTTCTTACTGATTGGTCTCTGGATTTCCAGAACTTTAATTTGTTGCCATTAATAGTAAATAAAGCCTGTTGAGCTTCAAGATGCTCACAAATAATGGCACCTGTCTTGTAATAAATTCAGAATTCTAGATCTCTTTTATTAAGTTTTTGTCATTACTCAGTGTAAGTTAAATACAGGATTTTATACACCAATTCCATATTTCAGCCCACAATTAATATACCTATAGTCTACCACTACCAATGTTAGGATAATAATATATTATTATAGAGGACAATATAAAAACATTGGAATGTAATATAATATAACATAAATTCCATATAAAATGCAGCATATATTATGATGAGGCATTATCTCACCAAATGCCTCTATTAATCCTGTACTGTCATAAGGTTAACAAATGCATTTAAATTTCATAGTTATATATTTTTATTAACATCCTCAGACTATCAATTATATTTTGAAGTTGATATTCTAATTCACATAAAAATTATCAAAACAATTGAATAACCAATAAATGTGTGAAGACAGCGCCTTTCTGCATCTGATTTAATAAATTTAGAAGAGTATTACTGAGTAACTGTGCATTGAGGAAATATCTTGGTTTTATGAAAATAATTGCAAAAACAGCAGAGCAAATTTGTCTACTTTATCAGGGCATAGGAAAACTCAGCAGGTTATTTGAGGCATATAATGAGATAATGACTAAAATGAATGATGAATTATTTGCTATTAATTTAGACTAGATTTCATAACATTTAAAACATATTTTCTACAATTCAGTGATTTGCTAAAAATTCTTGTTCTTATTTTAGCATAACGATCTTGCGAATTTCGCTGCAAATCACTGATTTATAAAAAAAAATGCAGGGACTATTCATATTTATAATTAAAGAATTCATATAATACTACTATTCATACTAATAATAGCCTAATATATTACAAGCACTATTCTTCATTTACATAACTTATCATATCCAATATAATCTAATAGCAAGTGTATCAGCCTCCAGAAAATTGTCATTTGTATTTCACCAATACTGATATGCCAAGTTAGATAACATTATATATAAGTTCTGGGCCTCAAGGTCTCGTTTTAGTTACCCTTTGACCAATTGCGAGGTGGAGAGTCACAACTTTAGTACTGGTCAAGGTTACTTTTTAACCAATCAAATGCCTTGGAAATCAAACCAGTAAAAGATTGACATCTGTCAAAAAGATTCAATATAATTTATGTTGACAGTATGGTCCCTGGTATATATGAAATAATAAATATTGTAATAATAAGGGTTGATACAGGTATTTATATTTGATTTGTCCTTATACTATATATAATATCATCAGGAGCAGGTTTAACGTTGTTCAACTAAATCTAATGTCATTTTATATGATACGTAGGGATAGTATTCACTTCCACCTAGACCTATTCCAGGTATATCCACTTCCTACAAAATAAAAATATTTGGTTGTTAAAAGGCAAATTCTGCAAGGTCTTGAGATATTCAAAATTTTAAAAGGTAACATTCCATCTTAGACACAATTTATATAATTTTATTGAAAAAATCAAAATAGTTTTACCTCATTCTTTTTAGCAGCTTCATATTCGAAGGAAAAGTCGGTGTCCAAAGTTGAACTCAATTCAATAAATGAGATAACAATACTTACATCTGTTCCCTGTTGTAAAGCTGAATTATCTAAATGACTATATAACTGTTTTAAAACATCACGTAAACGTTTGGTAGATCTTTTACTAGGTTGTACAACCATAGCTTGAAAATTGACTGGTAGTCCATATCTGAAAAAGGTCATAAATAACTTGATTATAGTTAGGTTAAACAGATATTGAGATAGCATTGTCTTCTTGAACTATTGATGAATGAATGGGAATTCTGGTGGAATAAATGAGTTAAATAGGTTTTCTGAATGTTTTATGCTAACTCCAGTTAAAAAGACGTCTGACTGAAAATTGGAATGGTGTAAATTGATACTGATACTGTATCAGTTAACCTGTATGAAATCTAAACCAGAATATCTTCCAGGTGACAAGCAATTAGATACTTACCTTAATACTGACTCTACAAACACTCTTAATGCTTTAACATGTAACCATGCAGCAAAACATTCACCAAAATTTACTTTCAACCATTTTACTAATGGTCCCTGAAATCAATATAATAATTATAAAGATATGGCATAACAACTTTCTTCCTAAACTCAAGCTAAAGCTCTACAAAAGTTAAAAAAAAAGATCATAACCAAATTACATGACAGGTCTACTTACAAATTGTTTCTTTTTATCAGCTTCTAGTTTGGTTAGCTCTGTTTTACCAGACTGGATTTCCTCTTCACTATAGGTAAAATCACGTACACTAAATCTACAATAGAAATTATTCAGTTTAAATCTTGTCATTTTCAGCAAAGACAAGTCACTTGAGTTAAATTTTCGAAAATGTGGGTTTCAAAGGCTATACTGTTGAAGTTTACCTTGTTATGTCATTTGCATAGCATATCTGATGGCTCTAATCTATTCTATTTTCAAGTTTTCCTTATAAAATTTTGAAGTTTTTCTTGTACTTACTTGTTTTCTCGACAATGATGTTTAAATTCATCAACTACTCTCTTAAATAATGTTACAGTTACTAAAACATTTTCATTATCATCAAATATCTTCCTGTAATTAATAAGAATAAAAATTTAGTTCCAAAATTCTTCAAATCCCAGTACTGATCAAATCACATGTCTGATTCCAATGATCAAATCACATGTCTGACTTCAATGATCAAATCACATGTCTGATTTCAAGATCAAATCACATGTCTGATTTCAAGATCAAATCACATGTCTGATTTCAATGATCAAATCACATGTCTGATTTCAAGATCAAATCACATGTCTGATTTCAATGATCAAATCACATGTCTGATTTCAATGATCAAATCACATGTCCGATTCCAATGATCAAATCACATGCCTGATTTCAATGATCAAATCACATGCCTGATTTCAATGATCAAATCACATGCCTGACTTCAATGATCAAATCACATGCCTGACTTCAATGATCAAATCACATGCCTGATTTCAATGATCAAATCACATGCCTGACTTCAATGATCAAATCACATGTAGACTTCAAAGATGATAATAAAACATCTAACTTCATTGATCATAATAACATGTCTAAATTTAAGCTTAATAACTTTACGTGAAACTAGATATATGTTAAATTTGTGTTCTCTTCTGGAGACCTGTGCCAGTGCTTCTATAGAAGAACTTTTTCTGTTATGTTATTAAAATAAATATTCTTACTTTGATGATCTTGGGACTACCATATCAGTCAGTTTCTCATACTTTAAATTCCAGTCATTATAAATATTCCTGAAAAGTTAGAAATTCAAATACAATATTAAAGGTAGATTGTGTACTGGCTTCAAAAGGCAGAAATCATGGCTAAATAATAAATATATTCATTTTCAAAAATATTGCTTGGCAAATTTCGTTTTAAAATATGTGAATATACAGAACAATTTATTAACTTCAAATTATTTTAACATTACATTAGTTTTAACTCTGCTTTTAGATTATAATCAGTTAGATTTTTTACTGCCACTTTAAACAAATGTTTCACTATTATAAGATAAATACATATAAATATACTAAAAAGAAATATATATATAAAATTTCATGCTTTAAGGGGATTAATATCAATACTTACTTGGGAACAACAACAACTAAAGTTGTTAGATATTCAGAATCTAAGACAAAATCTTCTCTCTTTACCATATCACCTAGGTTACGTGTCAACAAACTTCCTCTGGAAAAAAAAAGAATTGGTAAGCATTACACATGTTTGTTCCATTGCAAAAATCATGTAAAAGTTAGACCAATGATATTGTTGAGGTGCTTTGGCTTTGGAATGACTTTTGTTTTGTCTATCAGCAAAGTATGATTATGATCTGCAAGTTAGAGATCCACTACAACAAATATTCTTGAAATTTTTGCCAGCAGTGCAGGTATTGCTCACACTTCTAGTGTAAGATCATTCAAAATGGTCAATGTCAAGGCCAAACATATAAGGTCAAGGTAAGGATAATGTCAAGGTTAGAAAAATACTTACGTTGCTTTTCTTTCCAAACTCTGCAAATTACCCTTTAAATTATTATAAGCTGTAGCTTTTGATTTAAGATCAGATTCAATTTGGTTAACTTGCTGCAATTCAAACAAATAATCAATTAATATAATGTAGCATAAGAGCAACCATCATCTCTCCTCAACATGTCAGTATTGTATTTATTTTCCTTCGGCAGATAAACCTTATATAAGAAACCAAAAAAATCATGATGTCACATAATTTTCAGACAAGCCAAATAAAATCAAGAGGTTACAAGGTATATAATCATTGTGAAAACATAGATTTTTACCTTGGCAATGATTTCTGAAATACTCTTCAATGATTGTTTAATAGGATATTTAGCCAAGTCCCATTGGAACCTTTGTAGATAATTAGCAGGTGGCACTGAAATTATAACATGGTTCAACTTCTAAGTTAAATAATTAAATAAAAGCCTCTCCAATGAGTTCTGGACCTGGATTTGAGAAACTTATAATTAAGATACAACAATGATTTTTGGTCTCAGGAACCTCCATATAAATACAACCAAAATAGAGCAACAAAGTAAATGACAAAAGTTTCAAACTAGGGTATTATTTGGCAACTGGCACTTCAAAGTGTCAACAAGTCATATGGTTGGTTCTAGGATGTCCTTGGTCTAGTGTGAAGATCTGTATCTATTTCAGAGAGTCCCATAGCTTATAATGATGTTTCACTGAAATGATATAAGACAAAGCCTATTCCTCAATTCCAATTCATGAAATAAAATATTGTTTACAAAAACAATAATGATGTTTAATGATCTCTATTACCTTCATTAACTTTTAAATTAGCCTGAAGTTTATCTCTGGTATCTTCTAAAACTTCTCCAATATACTGAGCTATCTTTCTTGTTACACTAAATACAAACAATCAAATAATTACAACCAGTATACAGCTTATTCTCTTTTTTATCCTGCTGTATAATCACCATCAACAACATTTTCAGTCTATCTAAACTTAACAAATTGTATAGCCAATATAAATAAGACACAATGCATTTGAGTGAGAGTCTATTTCTGTGATTTATATTCTTTAATATCATAATACAGCCACATTACAATCTTTATCTACAAACCACACCAATAAAAATTAAACAGAGTCTTATTGTTAAAGACACAATTTTTAATGTATGCATACAAATTTATATCTTTTCTACATTTTCATACAGCTAAACCATTCTCACCTTTCACAATATACATCTAATTTACCTAATTCATCAGATAAACCAACTAACACATCTAATGTTCCCACCTGAAAAAGAAAAATAGCAATACCATTACTATACCTTAAAAGTTACATGGAATTGATAACTCCCAGAGATACTTGTATATAAAACATGATAGATCTTATATCTGAATCATGTGTTAAGAACATTGGATGAGCTTTAGTGAATCAGATTTAAGGACTTGTAAAGACGTCTGTGGTTTTTGCAGACTTTTGACTAAATATTTGAATGGTTCAAATAAGAAGCTATCTGTGTCCTTGACACACAAAAGTATACAAAAACTCATTACAAGTCCACTACCTATTGAGCATTGCTATATCAAAATGAAATCCTTTATCCCAAAATTATTGTAGATACAAAATCAGTGTAAGCTTATTACAAACCTTCAAATCAGGAATTTGAAACTTGCTGTTAGTTGATAATTTCTCAGGGCCCTGGGTAACACTATTTAATTTCTCAAATGTTTGCTGACCCGTTTTATCACCAGGGGCAGAGATTATCCAGAACTCAGATGACATGTTGAACAAGGAATGATCTTCACTGCCTCTTTATTATCAACTATTTTGAACTTGCAGTTGCAGTATTCTAATAATTTTCAAATCTACAAGAAAAATAACATTCTTGAAAACCTTTCAGATGGTATGTCAAACAGAAAATCATTTGGGAACAGTATGAAATACTTCTTTAGTTCATAGCAACACAAGTATTTATCACAAGTGACAAATATAGATTAACTAGATAGGTACTCAAAAATTGGCTACACAGAAAGAAAAGAAAACCTACTAAACTTTTATGCTCTCTAATATTATAATTGCCAAGTGACAAGAATAATACAAATGAAGTAATAAGAAAAACCTTTCATCCCAAAGTTGTATTAACAATTAACTATATGAGGATCCAGACCCTGGCCCTGGGTATAATTAGAAAGCCAAGGCCATTCTCCATGCATAGATAAACTAAAGCCAAAGGAAGTAGTGTCATTGTCACTTGACAGTTTTCATGGACTTCATCATCAATCATTATGAAAAAATCAGATTCATAATTCATAATACGTTTATCTTTTAAGAAAAGTCTCACCTACATTTATCAATATAGTTAAGAGACGAAAGGCAAAGTAAATACGAACCTTACAAACTCAAAAGTAATCTTTTTCGACATTCGCCATATTTTGTTCACGTGATAGCTTACAAATTTGATTAAGACGAACCGACCTTCAGTCAAATCGCACCAAAAAGTTGACCCTGATAACTATGCCAAAAGAAAAATTAAAAGAACGTCGTAGTAAAAGATGATGACAAATGTAAACGTCTAAACAAAATGCATTTTATTTACCATCTATTTCATTCCAAAATGAAGAAAATTTGATTAATGGACGTTTTGACGCAACAGATGACATCACATGACCTAAAATGACCTACCTTATGCCCACATGTCAGTACCGTTAGGAATAGAGTAAACAAATTTGACAACAACAATCATAGAAGGTAAGGACAGATATCTCTCCATAAAACTGTCATATTTCATTTATTTAAGGACATTATATTTGCAAATGATGTAGTCTAATTTGTTACTGATTATCATATCACTTTTCAAAGCCTCCAGCGAGTGATTACAGCCAAAGTGTAAGTGCAATCAGTGCCAGGCGAGGCAGAGTTGCAGGATTGAATTTTTGTCAACTTCAAAATTGACAGGAATCCTGGAATGGTAGGAGTATATTTTATTTCGTTTTAAAATTGATGTTATGTATTTATATCAAGTAGGCCTTTGGAGAACATATTGTTTTGGCTTACAGAATTATTACTGGAATATAATAACACTTTGCTAACTAGGCTTAATTATTAGGTACCGGTACCAGTACTTAAGCTTAGGCCCTATTTGATTATTTATTATAGATACAGTCAAGTAACCTAATTTCGTGGAAACCTATTATTTGGATTTCCGGAATGGATTAATAATTTACATGAGCGACCTTGCGCGACCTCCGCATTAGTTTGTTTTGATAAACATGGGTTTTCTCTACAATGTCAGCTAGTAGAATGAATTCAGTAGTTTCAAGCAAGGTAAAATGTAATAATGTATACTTTGACAAATACAAAATGGCGGATTTCACTTATTACCAAACGTCAACATTTTTTATCCGCCGAATTTCCTTATAATCCCAAGCGGTAATCGGAATTCCAAGTGTCGTCTGCTAGAATATTTTCCAACGAATGAAGTCTCGTGATCAACTCGCGGATTCTGTGTCAGCAGAAAATTTCTATGGAACACAAAGTGGACCATATTCTTATGTTATTTCAGTGACTTTTAGCAATAAATCACGCTACGTATCTTATTTTGTCAGTCACTATTTTTTTTTTTAAATCGTGGTTCTTTCAAGGACTTGTCACTAGTTATAATGAATTGATATTAAAGATAAATTATACTAAGATAAGTTAATTATACCACCCGGTATCTATACAACGTGTTTTTCTAGACTTATTTATAGATCAAACATTGTACACGAAAATAGGTGACGCATTCTGCCGCCGTTGGTTGCTCATGAAATATGGGTCAAAGTGAAGGATTAATAAATAAAATCGAAACAAACCAATTTTTATTATTTTGTAGAATATCTGAGGAAACATTTAAGTCATAAAAATTTTTTTTCGTTTTTTTAACTTTGACGAAATTCGGTGTTGAATCCTTATATCCACGAAAATAGGTTACACCACTGTATTAAATTAAATTAGACTTAGCCTAGCCTACCATCCTTCTTGCAAAGATATTGCAAAGACAGACTTAGAATTAGATCTAGCCTACTTGCATTGCAGAATTTACGCATTCCTGCAGCACCAGTAGGCCTATGCATAGCATGTTCATTCATTGAATTCCTGAAGTTAAAGAAAGACAAAGAGCTTCTTAAGTTCTTATATAAAAAGGTTTATAGTTTATTTTCAAAAATGAAATTTATCAATAAATTACATAGACAATATGGATTTGTTATGTACTTATGTTTTTTCCATTTTTTTTTCAAATTGAGAATTATCTGGAATATGGTTGAATTATATTTCCAACCCCATTTGAATCAATAACCATTTATCAGAGGTTGGTTAGACTAATTTCAAGCAATTAAAAAAGAAAAATAAGCATTAGTCTATAGAAAACCTTTGTTTGTACATTGAACAATAGCAACAAAGGATAGTAAAAACTCAATGATTTTTCTGATAATTATCTCCTACTTTTCCTAATTAGGTAATTTGACAGGTAAAATCTTTTTTTTTCTCTCTTATAGAAAAATCATTAATTAGCAGAAAAAACATTATCCAAGAATGCTAATAACATGGAATTATCAACTTATTATTTTCCTTGAAGAGATTCTTATTAGAAATGTAATGTTTTATTCTTGTTAATTTATTTTAAGATTTATAGTAATGATAATCTAATGTGATGTTTAATATGTTTAGCAAACTAATCAATATTTTATAAAATTTTAATGAACATCAGACAGTATCAAGTCTGAAATACCATTCTGAAAAAAATGCCATTTAAATGAATTCTAGCTTCATATCATGGAAACTATAAATACTATTTTGGATTGATAGTGAAGCTGGAATATATAGGCTACATATTTGTGTTAATGTTGAGTTTTATTTTTAAATCTAGAATCAAATGGTGCACTTCTGCTTTTACTTTTGTTGGTAATTTGACTTGATATTCATCTAATTAGGAATATGTTTTGGAATTTTCTCTAAAAACAACCTCATGAATATAGTAGTGCCCATGTATGCATTTTTTCATCATAAGTCATATGAAGACTCAATTCTATCAGTACCGATACTTGGTTTGTTGATTTCCATCCTTATTTGTAACAAATTTAATCTAGAAAACTCGCTGTAAATTCAGAGAGAAGACAGTTTATATTTATTGAAATAAATAATAATGATCAATAAATACTTCTACAAAAAACTCTTCACAAAACTCCTGTGTGAAATGTCAAATGTGTAAGAATATTGATTAGAATTCTGAACTTGTCAGCAGTCTTATGTAATTCATATATTCTCTCAGTTTAAACCATCTTTTCTCAGTTATTTTATCAAATCAGATGCTATTTTAGAGCTTGGTTCTAATTAGATGATTCGGTAATGGTAATGTAATTTGTCTGGCGATCTTTCCTTATCCAATGTCTATCTTGAAATTAACTTTCCTCCAGATTTCAATGATACAGTTGATATAGTTTAATTATACGCTTTAATCTTATGACTAATCAAGTAGAATTTGATTACAGATACATTGAGCTCTTCTCAAGAAACATTAAATCCTATTTAGTTATACAGTAGTTGATAAAGTCTAATACTTGCTTTAATCTTAATACTTAGCTGATAGAATTGGATTTTAGTTACATTACTGCTTCTCAAGAAACAAGTTTATTCCATTTCAAGTGCTTATTCAATTCTAATTATTGTGCACTTGCATAAATTGCATACTGCTGTGAATATATCTAATTTGTGAATAGATCTGGTACCTATTTGATAAGAACTTGTAGAACTATTTGAGATACAAAAACAATTTTTGGCACCAGGATAGCTGACTTTAAAACATGTTATGTTATTATTGCATACAGATAAAAACATTTCATTTTACCTGATAAGGACAATGTATCTTATTGAAACTTTGTGTACAATATAACTCAGGAGTACCGTACTAGGCTTATACCATAAAATTGTGTTCCGTTATTTAAGCATTAGATACAAACAGTGTATTTTTCTTTTATAGTTTTAAAACATGGGTTGTAATACCAGTACTGTCTCATCTGATGGTAGTGCTGAGGTCAAAGTTTATCATCACCAAAAAGTCAGTGTTCGTATTGGACATAATGTTAAACTGCTGAAAAAAGAACCAATCATCATCTTTGTTTTTGGTAAGTTTTGTTTGATCATAAGTGATTATACCATATTAAGAAATATTTGAATGTGGTGTAGCTTTAAAGGGATAAAGAGGTTTATTTATGTGTTTCAGGGACACTGATAGCATGTTTTTTGGACCATTCCAATTATCAGTCAGACTTCTGTGGTTCTTACAATTCCACTTAAACTAGCCATTTTTATTTCAAAAGCTGCTAATATACGTAATATGTAAAGGCATTAGCATAAGATATGTCATAAAACGTCTTTACAATCCCTTTAATACAGGAGGTCTTATAGGTCTATCCTATTGGCCTTTTAAAGTGAACAAGCGTATAAGCATTTGGCTTATTTAGATAATTTCCTAGACTTCACTCAGAATTTCTGTTTTACAATTGATTAATCACTGAAATTTAACAAATTTAGAAGTATGATCTAGTTAGAGTCTTCAACAAGATTCAGTCAGTTGAGATTTAAAATGGCAGGAACATTTTCTGGATTTTCAATGAATAGGCTGAGTTAGATTTTAGTTTTTGATTGTTTTTCTTCTATATACAGGTGGTCCTGGATCTAAAAAGGGGAGATTAGCCAGTGATATTGCTCAAACATTCGGATTAAAACTTATTAATGTCAGTGAATTGATAATGGATGAAGTGGCTAAAAAAGTAGAAGATCCTGATCCATTCAATCTACGTGCTAAAATACAGACCACAATAAAGGTAGGAGGTGAATTGCTTGAGACCTTGTTTGTTACAAAATGTTACTATCAAAATGAAATGTATGGTGGTGATTGATGAATATTACATGTACACTGCTAATAGAAACAGTGGGTGATACATATCGGGGCATGTTCACTGTTTCAAAACACTCAAAAATGCATTTGTGCATTTCAAGATGGACTGGAGTACAGTTGATTAGACTGATCAGAAATTTTTACATGACATCATTAAGCTTATAGATGATAATTGATATTGTGAATTCTAGGATGATCCAACCATGGTGAAACTGATCTGGGTGACTAGAGAAATCTCCCGTATTATAGATGAGAATCCTAAACAGAATTATCTGATAGATTTGATGCCTAATTTAAAATCATTGGTTAATAATAATAGTTTTGTTAAAGAATGTACCAATGAAATGAAACTATTTGAAGGAAAGGTTAGTATGGGATAGTTTTTGAGAAAATCATTGTTAGTTATTATGGGTTGAAAGCTGCCGCCAGGCCAACTCTTAGAAGCACTCACTGTGGTATCAGAAATTTTTTTTTACCCATTTTAGTGATCATTGCATTGACTTCTTATAAAAAAGTTCACCAGTCTTTCCAAATAACAAGCATAATTCGGTGTCATAGTGAATAGCATTAGAAGGAACTGGACATCCATCACCAGAAAATTATTGTAATTACTCTTTGCTTTCACCATCTTTTTACCAAATATATTGTATTCAAATGATCAGGCATGAAACTTAACTTAATTTAATTCTTAAATCTTGTACACAAACCTGAAATTTATTTTCCTGGCAATAAAATCACATGTCATTTTGCAAACAAATTCAACCTTCATGATTTCTATGTCCAAGTTTTTGTCATTTTAGTATCCAATATCCTTCGCAATCAACTTCTCAGTTCCATTAGAGAAATTAGTTAAAAAGAAACCAGAACCAGAATGTGCTAAACCCGAAACTAAGGCTTCTAAGAATGATGCCAAGAAAAAAGAAGGTGCCAATGTAAAAAGTGATGAAGCTGATTCCTCCAGAACTAAGGTAAGAAAAACCTCTCAGTAATATTTGATTTTTCAGAGACTATTGCCTTGAATTTAGGATATATGGAGATTGGCAGTACAGACATAGAACTATTTCATATATAAGCCTTTCTCTCTTTACATACTGCATAACTTTATCATTACAATGACAAACTCTGTCTAATATTAGATGGAGTTGGTAAAAACCTGACATTGTGACACTTGCCGTCATACATGTAAGCTAAAAAGTTCCATTTTGTATTTAAATTGTATTTTTATTTCAGAAAAGAGCAATGTTATTTGATCAGAATGTGAAGCCATTCCTAGATTATTTCCAGAAATCAGAAAGATTATTAACAGTAGATACCTCAACTGGAATGTTGGAATTTATCTGGAGTAAAGTTTGTGAAGTTTTCTCAGATTTAGAATTAAATACTTTACAAAATGTAGAAACTGTCATCATCTTCTGCTACAGTAAGTATATTGTATGACATGGTCTTTCTTAAACATATTAGATTTACGTTTAAAGGGGGGAGAGGGGGGGGGGGGGGTATTTCGAAGACGTTAAACCTATAAATATAACGTTGTAATTTGGTGAAAAGATGTTATTTAATATCTATGAGGTCAAAATATAATGGTATAGCATAGATACTTTATAAATAATTCTGAGATGAAAAGTGTTTTTTGGGGTACTCCATATATAAACTTGGCAGAAACATGACATTTTATTCATCCATGATATTATTTAGAACTATATTGTCTCTCCTGTCTGTCCATCCATATGATCTTAAATGTAGCAGATTTTGACAAACTTGTTCTGAGAACAAGAGTATTACAAATTTCATCTGCAGAAGCTTACAAATATATACATATAAATTTCTATGTCTATATTTCTCTGCAATGAGTGCTTTATTGCAGTAGAAAACCTTGTTAGTATAGTAAGCTGAGAGATATGTAAGTTTGTAACTATATGACATAAGGATTTGGCTGTGAATATAAAGCATGATGAACAAGGAATATGTGGCCTTACAGGCCATGTATCTTAACAAATACAAAAGAGTTCCTGTCTTCAAAGAGGCTTCAAAGTTTCAAGACTTGATCACAATTAATTTGAAGTGGACTCAACAGTCAGAGTGAAGAACAAAAGCCTATTTAAATTGATTAACCCTCGCCATTGTTTTTGGATTTAAATCTTGAATTAAGGATGAATTTTGTTCATGGGCTTGAGGGTTAGAAATTGAACAAAGGGGACATCCAAAGTTTTGAGGTGAGCTGAAATCAGTAAAGGCTGAGCTTGAAACTTCTCTACACCTGTGAGCTGAAATCAGTGTTAGCTAGAAACTCCCTACACCTGACTCATGTTTTCATTGTGACTGCAGATATCCCAGTGTTCACTTCTTGTTGTTGTCATGTTAGCAAAGTAACATAAAAATTCTTTGGATGCAGAAACTCATGTTTATTCAGGTAAATTTTATTTTAATTGGAAGATTTTGTTTGTATTTATTAAACTGATTGCTTAAGATAATTTCTCAATGTTTTAAATGTTCTCAAATCATTTCAAAAAAGAAATTTTATGAATGAATGATGTAAATAAACAATGTTCAAGCCATGTGTGACTTTAAATAGGTCTACTTTTTCTTGGACATAAATCAATTTGAATCTTTAATCAGTCTCTTGCATTGATTTCTCTTTTGATATATAATACATTGTCTTTATTTCTTTCAGTTCGTTATGATCTAAAGATATAGAAAAAGTAATGCCAAGTATATGGTGAAGCATACCAATCAGTTCAAACCAAAAATGATAAGGCTTGAAATCATGTAGTAAGCATATATACATATTTTTGCCCTTGTGTATTGAACTTTAATTGTTTAACAGCTTACATCTACATTTAAAAATTTACAAATCATTTTCTGCCTTGGTCTAGTCTGTGTCACAATGAACTAAATGTATAAAAGCTTTCTGATCTAATGTACTTGTGGTTTAATTGATCAGATAATTGATAATGTTATAATATATGATAGTAATAAAACTGAAGTAATGATAATGTTATAATATATGATAGGAATAAAACTGAAGTAATGATAATGTTATAATATATGATATGATAATGTTATAATATATGAGAGGATTAAGCTGAAGGAATGATTTTAGTAATGTATGTTAACACCATATCAAACCCCAAAATGTAGTATATGTTAGTAATTCAGTTTAATTTGTATTTTTCAGAAATTATGGTGGAAAGTTAAAAAGCTGTGTATGGACAAGATATATGACAAAGAATGATGAACAGCTCCCCCCAAAGAATACTGAAAAATTAACAAAATAAAATGATCTAGAATGTTTTATTTACATGTATATATTTTAGAATTAAATAGTTTTGAAATGTGTTGTTTTAATTGAATGATAAGTTGAAATTTTGCTGTCGATAATCAATTTCAACTTTCCCCTTTATAAAAGTTCATGGATAACATGAAATATTTAAACTCTTGTTGTTCAAAAAGCTTGAGAAGACAATGTTCTTTTTGAACTGCTTAGTCAAAATATTGGCTTTTAACAATTAGTGTTCTCTCCTCTGGATCAAAAACCAGGAGGTGATGAAATATGTTGTGCAAAGGCTAAGCACTCCCCTCTCCACACTAAAACATGGTGCTACTGTACTGCATAAGTTCAGTCAATGAAAACAATTCATAATCTGATTTTTGTATCATTTTCATTGAAACTTGTCAATACGTATAAAAGATTTCTTAAAATATATTGTCAATGAAACTTCAGATGCCCTATTGATACTGAGTTAACCTCTACATCTGAGCACCATGCGTAGTCAGAATAATCTTGATAATTTTGGTGTGAGATGTATGTATGTATATTGGAAGGGGTTGGTTACGATTAGTTCAGTTTTTCCAGTTATTGCCCTTGATTGATGGGTTTATCTATTCAAATGAAATTTGGCATTATCTGAAATTAAAGGGATCTTGATCTGAAACATTCATTATATATATAATATATTGATGTGAGCTTGGACAGAGTCTCAGTTGACCTATAGTTTAACTTCTGTTGCCTTGCAAGGTATCTTTCAATAGGTTATAATTATAGCAGAAATGACATGAGTATACATGTAGTCTATTAACTGCTGTTGTGAGTGTATGTCATCTTGCCTACTAGTTTCAACTAGTTATCATTGCGCAAAATTTTGCTCGAAGGCCGCTATGACATCTGTTATGAAAAACAATAAACACTACAATAGTTTAACTGCTGTGGGTGTGTGCTATCTTGTCTGATCAAGCTGTTTTCTAACAGCCTAAAGCTACAATGAAAATTTTCTACTTTGTGAGAGAGTTAGCATGTATGGATTTTTTGAATTCAGTATTTTTGATGTGATATTTCAGAAGAGCAAGATATAAACCTAATAAACATTGGTAGTTATTATCTAGATAAGATTGTATTAAAAGATCACATTCAAGATGCACAAGAACCAGTGGTAAGATTGATATACACAATATTTTTAAAGGGCTACAACCTGCACTTTTCTGGGGTTGATTTTGGCCTTGAATATAATAAATGTATGTTTAGAAATATGTTAGTACTTTTTACTGACATCAATTATAAAAAGTCTAATTATGAACATAACTGTTCTTACACAAGGCTTGTCTGAAAAGATGATGTCAATTCAAAAGTGGATAATTATAGATGCACAAAGGCTCAAAACACCGCATACACTGTTAATGATTACCTAAACTGGAGAATTTCTATTTCTTAGACTTAGGCATGATTGTTTGAACGAGGGGTGATACTGCCCTTTAAAACTAGGGTGTTACACTGTGATTCTATGGGGTAGATCTTTGTAAGACTATACACAATGTCTTAAAACTAGTGTCTGACAATGACCCATGCTTGAAAACAAACACTTGTATTGTAGGAGAAAGTGTTGAAGACTCTATGTAGAGTTATAGATCAAAGTAATCCATCTATAAAGGCATATGTTGTTGATGTTACGGGTACCTGTTTAGTGGAAAAAGATAATATAGATGTAAGTATATTTCTAATTACTTACTTCATTTCTAGATAACACAACAAATCTGACAATTCCCTGTTCTTGAGACATAATCTACTGTAGTACTTATTTGTCAGGCTACTTTCATGAATGATTAACTTTTTAAAAAATATAATGTTTATGGAATCATTTTGTTTAAAGGATAGGAATCAGTAGTCTAGATATTTAGGACAGTTGACTGAAAGGCCTACAGTCCAACAATCAAACAAATCAAAACAATTGTCACCCTAAAAGGTTTGATTAGCCCATGCATTACTTTACCCTATTTTTACAAATCATCTGAACATTGAAAACTAAGCTGTTTTTTTGTGATATATTTCAGTTTGCCAAGAAGTCTATAGTATTTGTTGATAATGATAATGCCAATCTAGAGAAATATGTACATGCTTCACATAAAACACTCCCCTGTTCCTTGTCATTTAAAGCTGTATCATCATCAGAGAATGAAGTCTGTTTATTTCCTTCTGATGTCAATATAGATTTAGCTAAGAAGATCTCATTATTTATGGCAGAATGTAGAGACGTATAGTGACTATAAGTATATTTCTCAACTTGATGATAAATTGGTACCATTCTGTTTTCAATGGTTGGCATGCATTATGATTCATTTTACTCTGGAAGATGCTGTTTTCATTACTTACTGTAATAATCAAAGATATTTATCCTATATTTTACCCAGTTTGATTCAAAACATAAATACAAACCAGTCCATTAAGATAAGATTTATACGAACAGTATCTTTAAATAAGATTACAATCAATAGGAATTTAAACAACACAAACTAGATTTATTCTGTTAATTACAACTTAAACTACCTCAAAATAAAGTGAACTGTTTGTACTTGAATGTCAGCAAATATCTTTGTTTGACTGTCATGTATAGTATGGTAATATAGTATATCAAAGTATTTCTGTAAATGTGATTTAACTGATGTTTTTTCTGATAGCTGCTTTACATTTTTGATATACAGATGATATTGTAGATGATATCAAATAAGTAAAATTTTGAACCACAAAATTGAAAAATATCGTTCAAATATAAAGTGCTGTGTTAAAAAGTTAATGTTCTTTATAAAAAAAATCTGACTTTTTCCGTTTGGTTTGATAAGACACTAATAATACACAATGTTATATTATGATTGGTGATATAATTGGACCCAGATTAGCAATTATATTCTTGAATTATACAAAGGGTAACAATTTCTCATCAAGTTGTTCTATAATCTCTACTCTTAGATTGCTGGCATTCCGTTGAAATTGCAAATCCATAGTTAAATTCATAATATATATAGTTATATTGAGATAAATAGTCATAAATCTTGTAATATAGCTAGTTTATTTATTAATTTATCTTTATACTATAGATTCCTCATTCTGAGCTAGAAATTTATATAATATATAAGTGAGTCTGAAATGACCTTGTTCTAACAAGCCAATCTTTAATACTACTCAATTTGATTGTCTCTTGACAAATTAATTTTACTGGTAATAAAGTACAAGGTGGAAATTCAATAGAATTTGATGTTTTAAAATGACTGCTAATTTGTCAAGTGGCAGTTAAAAGGTTTTCTGTGTGGTTTCAAGGGGTGAGGGCATACATCATACATAGTCTTTGGAAACCAAAATGGCAACTTGTTAGATGAAGAGTTAAATATCACAGACTCAAATCTAAGTCTTTAATTTTTTCTTAAAGTTTTTTTTTATTCTTTATATTCTAATGTAAAAATATGGTTGGTTTTAGTTAGCAATAGTTAGGAAATAATACTCTTTTTATGATCTCTTTATAACAAACTTATTTTACTGATGTTACTTTGGTTTTGTTTGAACAAGAGCAAATGTATGTTCGATTGTATACAGAATTGTGGCTCAGGGACACTGATAGCATCCATTTGTACCATTCCAATTTTCAATTTTGTGGTTCCTGCAATTCATGAATCACTACCACCAGACCCTTTGATATTATTAGCAGCTTTTGTGATGTGATAAAATGCCTAGTGGAATTGCAAGAGCCACAGACATCAGACTGAAAATTCAAATGGTGCAAATTGGTACTGTTGTGTTTAAGAAATACAATTAAAACCACCATTAAAATTTATCCAAAGATTCATTAGGAAAATAAAAGAGTTTTTATTTGTTGTATAAGTAATGATTTTTGTTTTAAGTATGATCGAATGAATGAATTATTGAATGAATGGAGAAAAACACTACAATTCCAGTGCAAACAGTCTGTATGGTTTGGTAAGCTTTATTTTGCACTTTCATGGTTCATTTTTGTTGCTGGGAGAATGTTGTGTCAAATTTTACTTCTGAAAAGTAATACCGATGACTGGAATTGTGCTTTATCACCTTGTAAAGTAAATATTGAGGTGAATGTATGAGTATGTATGTTTGTGTACATGAGGTCTCTTTTTCTAAATGTGCCAAATTTGTTCTCAAACTAACAGCTCAATAATATTATTATATCTAGTTACCTCTTAATTGTTTTATTTTAGTTAGTCATAGTTTTAGTGTTATTCTGCTTCAAATCTGGTACACGATAAACTACAAACTTCAATGACAAGATGCAAATATTGTAAATTAAATTGACCCACATACCATAGTGATCACCACTTTGTGTATGGTTACGAATAATGAAAGTGGCCATGAGTTTCTAACTAAACTTAGAGCTCAGTTATGTTGAGTTGTGTTCCAAACTTATGTCTGCTATTCTTATTCGTAACTGGTGATCACTATAGTGTGTTGGCCAACTTAATTTACAATACTTGCATTTTTATCATTGACATTTTTAGTTTATTGTGGACCAGATTTGAACCAGAATATTGGACATATTTTAGATTATACAATCATCCATAGATATCTAGTATTGATTTATTCATATTTCACTATACATCTATATTCAGGTTGTTGAACAGTATCAAAGGATTGGGAAGAGGTTTTCTAAACTTTTTATGTGTATTTTGGATACAGATAAAAACAATTTGTACCATTTTCAATCAGACATGTGGTTCTTGCCATTGCACTATAACAGAACATAGCTGTTAAAGTTACTCATGCACCATTTTTTTTACCAATCATACATTAGTCTTAGAAACAGGAATAACTTAGCTGAGCCAATCAGTAAATAGTGTTTACAGCTCACCGTCAGAATTTGAGCCTTCAAATCCTTGTGTGGTAAGAATTATTCGCGTTTGAATGTTAAAATGACGTAAGATACTCTGTGATATATAGAAAGGACATATATAGGCATAGTGAGTAACATTCCTAGTTTGAGATATATTTGAACGAAAAATACAATTTTCATACATTTCTAGTACTTCTAAAGACTATTTACATATTTTCAAGACTCAAAAAATCAACCCCCCAAAATTGCGCATCTGTCCCTGTAATAATATGGAAGGACCTTTGCATTGTGCTGTCATAAGATTCTTAGTTTAAGTGGAATTGCAGGAACCTCAGATATCTGATTGAATATTGTAATGGTGCAAATCAATGATACAAGTGTCCCTGATACACATAAAACACAAAGGAAACCTCTTAATTATCATTTAAAGTCTTGTCAATATTGGAGAATCATTGCCTATATATTGTCCGTACTATTCTAGTCAGAGAGATATTCTCTCCTAAATATTGTTGTTGTTTTTAATTTATTTACGTTTTATTGTTAGTTATTTTTATTTTTATACTTTTTCTATGCTCTCATGAAAATATGGACCATTTAGTGTTGTCTATCAGTCTATATTGGCTTATAGATACCCTAATATCAGGGTTTTGTTAAAGCGCTTATATTCTAATCAAAATCAGATATTTTCTCTATTTTCTTCATAATTCTTATATTATATATTGTACTAGTTATTATAGCACAATCTAATGCTGCTGACCAACCAGGTGACTATATCCTGAAATCAAAAGAAGTGCCACCTGCTTCAATATTCTGCTTATTCTTCATGTGGCAGAAATAGCAGGTTTTATAAATACTTACATGTTAAGAGCCTGGAGCCCCCATTTTAAGAGAAAAAAAATGATTATTTTTGTTGTAACTTCATACTTACAGACCAATTTTGACCCAGTTTGACCCAGCTGTAAATGGGTACGGATAATCCAGCAAAGATCCATTCCATTCCAATAGCTACTTATTATCCTTGTAAAATATAATTCTTTCTTTCTTTCTTACCTGCTGAATCTCACATTCTGGTTGAAATCTTAACTTGGGCTTCATTGTCATATCTACAAGTTAGTCAATGTGACTAAATTTGTGGTGGAGCCTCACATCTTATTAATTATACTATTCATAAACTCAAACAGATTTACACTATCTTAGAATGTCTATACCTCATACAGTTATCTAGTCTCTTATAAACCAAATAAAATATGAATATGTTTTTACTTTATATTTCTATTTGTTGTTTTTTGTTATGGTTATTCAATAAATTTTTCAAAAATCTGTTATTTTTTATGAATTCCTAAATTATGTCTCTGTGGCATACAAAAATAGCTTGGTAGAGAATGGGGGTGTAAGATTGATTGGATCTTTGATAATAAAAAGCTGCTTTGAAATTCTCTGAAACTATTTTGATCACTTGGGTTTGATGTATTACTATGTCCAGATTATTTCTTGAAATACTCAGGGGGTTAATTTGGAAGTTTCTATTTTGGGGGAGCAGAACAGCCCTTTGTCAACAAGGTATCCTTCTCTGAAAATGGCAAAGCTATACGACATATTTAATATTTTATTTCATTTACACTCATGGTTCAAAGGATAAAGAATTGAACCATCATATAGAATTAATCCAGGCACTTTTCCTTCAAGTAGTAGTTCAACATGATAGATTCATTGTAATGATAACTCACCAAGTTGAATATTTTAGCTATCTATTAATACATGAGATAACTAGTTTTTGGTCATGTTAACTTCGGTGACTATCTTGACACAGTGTAAAATGATTGCAGAGAGACTGGTTTAATAGGGGATTTTCTCATGACTGTTGGCACTAGTCTTTAGAATTCAAGAAGAACAAGTGATCATTAAAAAAGTGATATTATTCATTATAAATCAAGTAATTTATACAGGCTATATAATCAGAGTTTAAAAACTATACATAGATCTTCTACTCACAGAAACTTGAATTACAGACAATATTATACAGACAATTCTATATCTAAATATTAACCCTTTAATCATACAAAGAGGGTTGCTTTACAATCTCTCATACAGCAGAAATTATCTCATACAGCAGAAATTAACTCATAATACCTACATTAATAATCCAACATCTCACTATTGTGATTGAAATAAATTCTAAAAGTATATTTTGATTTTGTGTTTGTGTATTAAGATTATTCTAAGTGTTTTCAATATGTAAAATTCTTCTGAAGGGTTATTTTATGGCTGCTAACAATATGCCATTAAAGCTATCATTAATAAAAATTTGATTTTTTCTTTTGCTAACAGAATGCCCAATAATTCTGCATGAATTCAAATTTCTGTGATCTAGTATTATTAATTAAACATTAATTAAAGAATTAAATGTGCTAAATTTAAAAATAAACAGCTGATTTCTAATAATAATAATAATAATAGTAATATTTACAAGAACCAACATAGCTGCATAGCCTGACCACCATAGCATAGACCTACATATTCCAGTGCATAATAAAGAATGAATATTTAGAGAAAATGAAGTGGGGATATGATTATTTTATAGAAAAAGCCATATATTTTCTATTCTTTTTCTTTAACAGTTGATCGAACCTAATTCTATTCAAAACATATGTCCATTTATCAAAATTTGCCCAACTGAAAACTCGAAAGAATGGGCATAATAAAAACAGTTTATAATATTTTTTAATGGAAAAACCACAACATGTTCATTTCTACTGGATTTAAGCAATTGCTTAAGTGGAAGTGGAAAGTGGAAATTTTCACTAATTAAAGTGACAATTGTTGAATCAGTGCCAATAATTGCTTAATAATTTCTATCAACTGTTGAAGAAAATATTACAGCACTTTTCTTTCCAAAAATTTGGATAAATTTTAACTATACAGAAGGCTATAAATTCTAGGAATTATCTATAAAAGCAATAAAAAAACTAATTTGAGATATTTTTCAAAAAATAATATTGGGAAAAATTCTAAACATTAACTCAAATTTACAAAAAATATTTTGGTCTTGATCACAAAAAAATCAACAATAATAAGGATTCAAATAGTCTGAAGTTGACTGACTCTTATCTAACCTCTAATTACTAATGTTCACAGATGACAGCTTGAGCCACGAAAACTACCTACACATTTGGAAGATTAACTTCATTTCAAATCTGACCTACTTATGAAATGATTTGCTGTCAAGCAAAGATATCTGTGAACTACTCCTTCTACTTAAAAATAAAATAGCCTGGTTCTGATAATGTTTTGAATCATTGCATGAATATCTTTGTTCGACTAAAAATGTTTTGTGAAAACAAGCAAAATTTGTGCTGTAATCTAGAAGCTGGATGACATCTGTCACAAAAAGCAAGAGGTCAGGTAAGAGTCAATAAGTTTCAGACCAGGCTTGATGGAAACGAGTATGTAAATGCTCTTACAACATAAAAACACATATCAGAATATTTACAATTCATAGAGTAACAACATAAATAAAGTCTTATCTTAAACTTAATTTTTAGAACATAACAAAAATACTCTGATGCCTGATAAAACATTTCCTGAAAATAGGATTCCAATATACACAAAGACAAATTTCTTATAAGACTTTTTTCATTACATTCATAACTACAAGGGAGCGAATGACAAGGTGTCTGGCTTTTCTAATGATCATGTGCAAGACAGATCCCAATCTTTTACTACCAGAACACTGTTGCATCATTTGCAAGGAGTCATCTCCCATTTCAATCTATATTTCTGAATAAAAACGAATAATTTTAACAGGATTAATTCTGTTTTCAAGCAAAATTTCAATAATTTTTAGATTTCTAAATTTGTTCAAACTTGTTTCACATGCGAAATAAATACATAACCAATACAATAAAAACAAGACTTTATACTGATAATGCCACAAACAGTGCCTTATGTATTGAGAAGACACAAGCTCCTTCTATTCATAGTAATTTGTAGAAAGTGAAAGTAGTTAACAGATCACTAATTAAAATTATACTAAAATTATCAGCAGACATGAAAAAAATTATTTACATTTTTCCTGATTAGCTAGTGATTCCTTGGCAAGTAATTTTCACTTAATAACTGCTATAATGGTATCCTCCCAAAACTTTTGGGTCCCTTTTCCCCTAAAAAATCTTACGATATAAGAATTTGTGTGGAATTTTACATGGAGAAATACCATACTAACGATTGTAAGATTTTGAATGAAGCTTGTATAGCAATATTACTATAAGATAACTATTGCCCCTTCCTCATTCACTATAGTAAACATAATATAAACATAATAGTAATTTAAACCTGGAAGCATCTCTATTATTACCTGTTTTTAACTAAAAAAACAAAAAGAATTGCATAATTTTCCTTCAGAAATTTTTTGTGGAACACTGAAGAAAATTAAATGCTATTGTTAAGTAAATCCCAAATTATTTTAATGACCAAAGCAGGCTGATAATTAGCTACATTAAGAAATTGTAATGTTCTATAAGCTTATTTCACATCACATTGTCTTCAAATAGGTTATTCCGTCCTCAGTGTTAAACAAAAAAATCATTTTTGCTATGAAATATGAATAAATGAGATAGATATTATAGTTTCATGAAAAAAAAAAATTGTACAAAACAAGAAAAGAAACATAAAAACACTACACAATAGAAAAAGATATGATATTTAGTACACTCTCCATTGTTTTCACATCTTCTATAGTCAACAGTGTTTATATAAATAACACTTAATATTTTCACATTTCTAAAACACAGTCCTTGTCATTTCTTTACTAAAATCAGTTTTATTGTAATAACTCATTATCTATCTATCCCTCTTATTCTACCCCAAAACTAAATCACCTTTAGTTCATGTTTGAAATTTCCCTAGAATCACATTTTTTTCCTTCAGTGTAAAATCAAAAATTTGATTGTTTGCCAAATCAATCAAAATTAACTGATATTATTAAAGAAATTGCCAAGAAACTAAAATAACATTAACTATCACTATTTGAACTGAAATTGTTCATAGACTATACAGGAGCATAAAAAAATCTTTATACAGTTTGTTATAATATCCACTTAGTGAATGTTGGAAATAAACTAAAACGAGAGAGTAAGTTAGGTGCTAGATAGACAGGTCAAGATTTATGGTTAGATGTTAACCATGTAAGGCCCTCGTGTAAACCATCTCCAGTTGTAGCACAAGATGGCTGAACATACCAGTTTCTATCTCGTATCCTGGTTAATCCTAACTTCTCTGTTACTTCATGAGGTTTCATTGCTACAATAGAATATTATTTTAAAATTAATGATAATTGATGACAACCGATTTTATAAGTGTTTTGGATTAGATAAAGCATCAGTACAATGAATATGATATTGGTGGTTAAATTTCTATTATCTACCTATGAGTATCCAAGCAAACTCACTCCAAATTGTTATGTGAGGTACCCTAGTAACATTGATAACACTATCTCTTGTGTGAACAAGCCAGTGTAACCCAAATAATGCTTTGCGATTAGGTGTATTGTGTACGAATTCTTCGAGTTAGGAAATTTCTGATGCCTGTGCCAGTGCTTTCGAGGTTTGACATGGTGTCGACTTCACCTCCAAATAGTTACAATCAATGGAATATTAAAGCCAACATGTGATTTGGACATTCAAACTAGTCCTTGGATTAACCCAACTAAATTCCAATGGTCAAAGGTTCGAAGCCAAATATTGTTAAAACATGTTAAAGTTTAGTAATAAATGATAAAAGAAATAAAAAAATCAACACTATCTCACCATCAGGTAAATCTTGTTTGTTAGCAAAGACAAGTATAATAACATCTCTCATCTCTCTATCATTAATAATACGATGTAATTCATTCCTTGCCTCATCTATTCTATCTCTATCAGCTGTATCACATACAAATATTAATCCTTGAGTTCCAGTATAATAATGTCTCCATAATGGTCTAATCTTGTCTTGTCCCCCAACATCCTGAAATAGAAAGAAAACAATAATTCTCTAAAAAAATCCAAAATAACCAGAACAAAATATTTATGAATATCCAATAGTGTATGAAGACAAACAAAAACATCTAAACAAAGTTATTTTGTTAGTACTTTTTAGAGACATTCAAAGAGCCATATAATTTCAATATATTACCATTCATGTATTTACATTAAACTGTTAACATGAAATATTATTAATTATTCCAATATCAGTTATTTCATATGTCATGTATAGTTATTATTACTAAATATAATTGAAATTTCAAATAGTTTTGGTATAGCTAGTGCTAAGGTATATGCAAATACTTTAAAATGGTACAGTACAGATAATGAAATTTGACATCCAAACCCTCACAAGCACTTTGTCTCACTGGAATGGATATGAACTTGATTTTCCATTTTCTGAGGTTGATTTGGGATTTGAATACATATAAATAGTCAAATATATAATGTATGTACCTTGACTAGAAATACACATTCTATTTCTATAAATTTATATATTGCAAGAAAATGACAACTAGCGGATAATTCTAGACACACATGGATTTGAAGACTACTCTTCACCATTACTGTTTCTGAGACTAAGGTACGATTGGTCAAACAGATCGAAAAACAGACCCTTTAAGTACTTAATAACCTTGTTTCATAAATATAGGAGACAATCACAAGAAGTCTAAATAAGAGAACTTGTAAATCTTTCAAAATTTTTGATAATATTGCTTCATAAATAATTGAAATATATTTGACATTGATGTAATTGAATGATATATAAGAGTGTAGGCTCCATGCATTTAACTGATACCTCATAATTTATAGATAATATATATTATGTTCTGCTTCAATGCTCCCATATACACCATTATAATATTTCACATGCCTTGACAGTTTATTACTTTATGGTTTATGACAATGTTAAAGTGAGAAATCATGTCCTAGATGTTTTTGCCAAAATACATAAAACTTAACATAATCTGATATGTTAGAGAACTTTACAATTTTGATGCATATTTTCAAAGGTGATTTACAACATTGTTTTTATTTATGACCAGGGAAACTAACCTAGATTTTCTATGGTTAATTAAACAGAATAAAAGGAGCTTTTTATTAGCCATGTCAAGGGTGGTATAAGTCAGAAAAACATTGGATAAAGAAATTAATCAGCAAAACCCATTTGGGGTGTTAGATCTGGAAAAAAACTCATTCATGTTATAAATGTAGCAAGATTTTTTTTAAAGTAAATACTAGTATTACCCATGACACATTTTAAGATAAGATATTACAAGAAACAGGGCCAAGCACTGATATCGATTGTAATAAATTTGTAATATGACCTAATATTCATGTCCAGTATTACGTTTATGTGTTCAAACTTCTACAAAGAATGTATTTCCTTAATGACTAATGATTTATGTAATATGACTCCTTGTTTGTTTCCTCATTTCAAGTCATCAAAATACACTTCCAATTCAATAAGTATACTGTTATAATTTAAAAGGATTGTCAAGAGGTTCCAAAAACAAAGTGTATAGGGGAGACTGGTAGCATCCATTTACACCATTCTAATGTTCAATTAGACGTCTGTGGTTCCAGTAATACCACTAAAACTACTTGTTTTATGACATCACTATGGCAAAGGTCATTATAATAGATGATTTTGTGACAATGAGTGGAACTGCAAGAGCCACAGATGTCTAACTGAAAATTGGAATAGTGCAAATTGACGCTATCATCAGTCTTCTCTATTCACATACAATGATAACCTCTTTACATTCCCTTTAATACTCGGAAGCTTATATGACATAAATGGAGTATTATAAATGTCAAATTTCATATGTCTATTGTCTGAAAACTATAAACTTAAATATTATTTAGAGAAAAGTACTGGTTATATTCTGTTTTACATCAATTTTTAAAATTTAAATATCAATTAAACAATGTAACAGCTTATTTTACAATAAATTTTTAAGCAAATTGTGTAAATTTTAAAATGGGATTGCTGCAAGATTTTCTTTGACAATATAACAAAATTTCATAGCAAAAGATTTTTTGCTTATCTGATTAAATCAGGGTTTTTTTTATAGTCCAATTTTGCTCAAAACAAGTCATAAATTATCTAATACTAATTAAATTTTATTTAAAATGTCCTGAAGTCCCTGAAGATCAAATTCATATCTAGACACTTTTAGGTTCCAATGAGACATGACTGACTAAATACAATACGATGATCAGTCAGTGAGCTTATGTGATTGAAATCTAGTTGAAAAATATAAATGTTAGAAAGGTAAAGGGTCAGGTATTAAAGAAAGATGAAAACAGTATATCTAAGGGTCATCTTGCTATGACATTTAATTAAGATATGGGCCAACCAGTTGATAGAATAGTAAAGTTTATAGGTTAGATCTAATTGTTGATATTGGGAAGTTAACTATACTTCCTGTATTATATATCTTACATATATTCTAAATCTAGAGAATATCTTCTTATTTGTCAAAGTATTTATGAGTCTGTTAATATTACTCTCAAGGACAGAATGGGATAAATATTGATTTATTGCCAAAGTTTTCTAATATAGAAAATTATTCTAAATATAAATTTTGGGTTGAATAAAAATTTTCAAACAGCATGAGATAAATGAGTTTTTTGTCAAAATGACAATTGTTCTGATCTGGTATATTGTAAATTTTTAATCTGAAAATTACTTTGTGTTGTGTTAATTAAAATATATTGAAAAATACCATATATTAACTGTCAAAGTTAAACACATATTGTGACATCTTCAGCTTTGAAGAGTCACCAGTTATTGAATCTGTTATCAAACCCTTCAGGCTTCAGATCTTCATACCAGCATTTCTATACAAATAATGCCAAATTTTTTTTTTCAAATCTACATTTTGTTCCAACTTTAACCCTTGCTAGATTTTAACACTAAATCATGGAAATAACAACTTTCTGACAACAAGTACTCTTTATAAGTCTAGTTGGTTCACAATAGTAGAAAAGACCACAGTCAACTCAAGTATTTGTTTTTTATGAGTCACAGAAGGATTTGCTCTACTGGCTGTATTATTAAATCGTATATTGAAGAGTATTTTCTAGGTCATTTGGTTTTATGATAACTTTAATTTGACTTGACCAGCCTATAACAGTATTGCTGTACATAGCAATATGTTTCTGAAATATAGACAATAGAAAGGACATTTTTTCTTTCCTTAAATGAATTTTGCATTGATATTTTACCAGATTGCTTTGATGTTGTAGCTGGACTTTTGGCAAGAGTTTTACATTTCCTATCTCACTCCATGAATTCTAGTGTTTATGCTTGTTATAGATGCATTAATTAGGTTATGATATATAATCAAATCAATTTGCAAGTTTCATCAATTTCTGAAGGTTTATTAAGACCACCTGCGGAATCAACTCACACAAAATAAATTTGGAAAAATTGAACATAACCTATTTATTTTGAAATCATAATTTCAGTAAATGGGAGACTAAAATCAAACTAGCAGACTGACAGACAAGGTAATAAATACTAACATATAAATGTGGATCTGGAAAAAAGGTACTTACCCATACACTAAATTTAACATTTTTATATGTGACTGTTTCTACATTAAAACCTACTGTTGGTATAGTGGTAACTGGCTGACCTAATTTTAATTTATATAAAACAGCTAATATTCTGATTAAGGAACAAAATATGACAAACATTTTGCAATTTAAATGACCAATTCTAGAAAAAAAGCATTTTATGCATTTTTTTTTTTTAGTTCGATAGAGATGCACTTCCTACTCTCATCATCTCATCTGGTAAATGCTATGGGAAAATAGTACATCTGCCTCCTAATTCCTAAAGCTACTTGACAGAGACAGAAAAACTAGACCCTGTTTAATGGGGATTTTCAGCATCCCCGAAGGTTATTCATATAATTAAAGAAAGGATACTGGTTTTTCCTGCAGCATCTAATCCTAACATTAGAATCCTCATCTCCTTATTACCAAATATCTTTGATAACATCTTCCCCATCTTGATTTCTTTCTTTTAATCTGAAAAATAGAAAAAATAATACTCAATAATGAACTATCTGTACCAGTGTAAATAAAAACCACTTGAAGAGATAGTGACAACTGTGTTGGGTGGGACTATTGAAAGCATTGAACCATTTTTTATTTTTACGTCACTAATAACTTACACAACATCAGTCATAAACTACAGTCAAACAGTTGGTTTTCAGTGAGAAATAAATATGGAGTAATTAAGTTTAAAGTCATTAAGAAATTGATTTCTAGTCATAAATTATAGAATTTTAAAAATAAATCACTTTTCTTCAGATAAAAGAACCACAGATTATGCTATTCCAGATATTTGAATGGGTGAATAAGAGATATAGATGGAAGTTAAAAAATAATCAATCAGAAAATTATTGCAGTTATGTAATCTAATATCTTAATCTAATAACAATATGAGCCCACACACATTAAGCTTAATATCACTTAATATAAATTAATTAAAGTTAAAGATACACTGCCCCTTATATATAATCATTGTCAAACTGTCTTCCCTGACCGATCTGAAACATATTCCAATGTTAACCATGTTTACTGGTTCTATGATCAGATTACCAAGTAATCATATCATTATTTTCTAATTAGTTTCAAAAAGCATAAAGCCAAATTAACTTCAATTGGCACAAAATATCACAATTCACAATGTAATCTATACCCAGTTTCTTTAAGTGACAAATATCAACTAAACAGTTGTTATCAAGCAAAATAAATGAACAGAGGAACCCACCATTAAAGCCTACACTTAACTATAGACATATATATATATACTAAGCACTGTCCAATGATGAATGTAATTAGTATTCCATCACTATTACAGGTAACTTAATCTTAATATATCAAATTTTAATACAAGTATATCTACCTACATGAATAACCATCTGTATTAAATATATGGTCTCATATCTCCATGACCTAATTAATTTCCACAAATGAATCATTCATGCACAGATATATTGGTGGCCTCATTCTGTACCATCCCATAATTTACATACAATCAAAGTGACCTTGTATGTCACCATACAACATTTATGTTGTATCTACTCTATCTTTCTTGTGAGAAAACCTTGTGAAACCTAATCATAGGACTTTAGCTGGTTAAGTGACTACTATCATGTAAGCTTACAGGGATGTTGATTTGGTTGTTTTTGCCAGTACTGTTCAACTAAACTACCTCGTCCATGGTACTTGATCTTAGCAAACTTTTTCATTAAGCTTATACTAACAACTTCATAGAATTGACAAAGATTCCTCATATTAAATCAAACCATGAACAATTTCTATATTATCAAAAGATAACTGTGCTCCATAAGGTTATAAAGGAAAGATTTTAAACTTTAAAGGCCCAAGATTGACAAATAATAAAGTAACATAATAAATATAAGTATTTTATTAAGATGAAAGTTTCCTAAAATTGGAAGAAACTAAACTTTCTCGTCATAAAATGTTCCTGTACAAACAATATGGAAGTGTACTTCTCATGTCAAATCATATTTGACAACTGTCAACATTCAACAAATTATACTCAATAACTTCACCAGATAACTTGACAACTGTTTTTTAATTTACTCCTGTAAGTTTTTACTGCTATAAATTTGACACTTCAATTTATTTTTACGTCATGAAATCTATCTGAAGTTGTGCACATCATAAATATATTTAGATGTGAACAAGCTTGTCATATAAGGTGACTTTCACTAAATTATTTCATTAAGATATTCACAGGTTAATTTTGATGCTTAAGAATATTTCAGTGTATTTCTAGTAAGCTTATAGCTTGTGCACAATATTAGTATAAAGAAAATGAAAGTATTTAATTAATAACATTTGGACTGGACATTGTCGTTTGGTGCCACATAAATATGATCTAGTCATAGTTAATGCATCACAGTTAACAATAAAACCTATAATGGTATCAATAAATGGGACCCTGGTTCACTTCATCTAAAGGGATTTGAATGACACTGATTTTTAGTTAATCATAATAACATTTTTTCCTACAAAAGGGATTGCCTGTACAGTACTCATGGTCATGAGTTTCTTAAAACAAGCTGTTTATAGTAGAAGCAGAGTGTAGATGATCCAGTTTTAAAATGATATCATGAATATGTATTTTCTCAGTCCCTTAAACAAGCTTTACTTATTAAAATGAAACACAGTTAAAAATGTGAAGAAGACACATTTAAGTCTATAAAATTTCCTATATAAATTTGTATAAATATGCCAGCTTATCTAGGAATAAATTCCTTTCTGGGATAAAAGCATATTAAAAGATTATCATCATTATTATCACAGTATTCTGATAGCTAAGATTACACCCTGATGTGGCAGCAACATATTCCAAGATATATTAAAACAGAATCATACCACACCAGAATATTTTGTACAAACCTCCATATTGCAATAAGCTTATAATGTTATATGTACAGAGGTTAATCTTATCATTTTATTTCATAAATTTTATGTCCAAACAACACACCTATTTTTCATAATCACATAGCATACAACTACCTAAAATAATACTAATAACTCCCATCTTCACCATTTCATGTTTTTTTTTTACATGACCCACAACCCTATGGTCAATCACAAATGTGATCAACCTCATTACCACAACCACAAATTTAACACATTTAATATAGAAAACAGTATTTGGTTATGATATTGATAAAAGTGCTTATGAAGCAGAGTGTGTTCACTCTTGTGGAAAACCCATTCATTCATTAACAAGTTCTTTTTTGTACAAGAATCATTGTAATTTAGATGAAAACCACTGTCACAAACCTTCTTCTAACAAAACCATAGGAAACTATATAATTCACAGCATCCACATTATTTCATCATCACACCAACTAGATCACTGTGCTGTATAATTCCCCTCTCCCTCAGCTAAGCCTGAGGGTAAGATGCTAAGATACAGACATAATCAGTCTAATGTTCTATCTATAGCTTTGCAACTTTTTGAATAACCAAATCATAATATCACGTACATCATCATACTTATATAATAGTTAATGTGAACAGGTTTATCAGCTGTCAATAAATTAACTCGTCAAACCTAATCAGATAGTTAATCTTCTACATGTACATATATATGTAAATCTATACTTATACAAATAATATATATCGTATTAAATATTCACATGCTTTGTTGATATTCAAACTTGAATTACACAAATCTTAAAGACGTCTGCAGTATTTAAGATCTAAATGTGTAACTAATACCAACGACCCATATTTAGACTAAAATAACCTTGCTAAAATCAAACATTAAAATGAAAATTTTTTCCTTCATGGAAATTGTCATCAACTCAAAGACAATCTTACACTCCAATTTATCATTTTGGTGTTGATATTTCAATCCAAGGAATTATTGTTGTCAGGCTATGTTCATCATTCTATAAAACGTGAGCAACTCTATGATTGGAATTATCAACTCAACCGGTACCTTAGCTAATAACACAACTATACCGGGTATCTAGTACTCTATAATTGGAAAATTGACTATGGAAGAATGCCATTAGGGATTTAAGGTAAAAAAAATCAATAGCAACATGTATAAGCTTTAGCTTATTTCTTTTCATTCAGTAGTAAGGCCTTAACTGCTATGCTGATTAGAACAATGTACCTGTAAGACGTATACCGACTATCATAAAGGCAAACAAAAAAATCATTACCTGGTGGCCTGCTATAAATCCTACCGTATATTATATTTTGTCAACTGTCCAAAAAACAACATTATTCAATTGATTTATATTAATCATAGTATAAGCTTTAAGTCTAACACAATCTAGATATATTTGGCAAAATCAGATCAATATTACCTTGAATGACATTTGGCAATTCAAAAGAAAATATGGCTATCATATCAATGAAAAACAATCCTCTTTCTCCATCCATGTCTTTACCATGGTTGACATTGAACTGATGAAAATTTATTTGAAATGAATACAGAATCAGCTAAGACTGTGTTGGTTGGTAAAAGTATGAATGTTTAATCACAATTGCATGTGAAGCCATGCTTTTTAAACCACTACTATTAAGAAATAACTCAGTCATTAAGTGTAGATTACCCTATGTATTAAAGGCTATTACTACTCCTAGTATTTTCTATTACTATTTCCACATTGAAAAATTGTGGGAAAACACACCTACCTGACTTTTATAGTGACTTTCTCGGAATTAAAACAAACAACGCTTCAAACTTGTACGAAAATCAAATGACAACATTGAAAGGTATATGAAAGACAATATATCGACACATTAAATACAATCAAGCATCATAAATTAAGATTTTAATGCGTTAATTCTTTCAAAACAAAACACTACTCCATGTCACTAATGTATGGCGGTTATGACATGGCGCTTCCGCTTTGAGTATAGGAATATAGTACGCTATAAATAATAATGTTTGTCCGTATTCAGAGAAGTGAATACCAGATCAAATTATGATAATTTCCATCTAATATTTGAGTTTTGGTAAAATAAGCATCTTTGATGCATCATCTTACCATAAAATGATTCTGAAATTCTGAGGATATTTGGCGTAGTAATATCAAACGATATATACCTTTTTAGCCTTCAAAATGGAGATCATAAAATCGGAGACAACTCTTTCCGTCTTCGTCCTGGATTCAGACGACAAATAAACAAATTGCATTTCTAGTGATACAAAAATTTGGCAAATCAAATAAAAACTGATATGGTTTGTTGTTCGTGTCACAACCTTGTCTCAGTGTTAGGAAAAATGCAAAGTTAAGATGTTATTACCGAAAAAAAAAATTATGCTACAGAACAAAAAATACTTCCTTTTTAAAATGAAATCCTGCAAAGTCTGGCTGAAATCACCTAATCAGATTATTGTTGGATTGAAAAGTTATATTAGGTACAACGGGATCTATCGGTTGCAGAGGTCTTTTTTTTTTATCTCTTAACACTGCCTGTATGAGCAAGTCAAAAAATTAGCAAGTAAATGTCAAAAATAGTAATCATATTTTGGGTCCTTGTTGTCAAGTAAGATTTAATTTACTTTTTTGATTCAGTGTGTGTGCTTAAATTATTATCAAGTATTTCCATCATAATTATATCCATTACCTCCCTTTGCATTTGAAGATTATTTTTATCCATACGAACCAGTGAATAGCAATACCATTTATCATTATATTGTAGGGCAACGCGTTCACAATTGCTTAGATGTGCTATCGTATCGTACCAAATACCTAAGCTACAACTATAAAACTCGCTATTTGAACTATGCGATAGAAGAGTTATAGTAAGCGGTAAAGGGTAAACCAGCGAAGCTCCCTGTAGTAATTCGCAATTTATGTCGCATTAATGTATCCGATTTCCTTATCAATCTCCACTCTTGGGTTATCTTCTTTCCTACTGACAAAAATGAAATGGTGATAATTGACTAGAAATGTGGACGTTTTGACTTTCATTGAGGGCGATTTGGGCTTGTAGCGCTTTGACATTTTCTAATATCTAAAAATAGCATTTCCGGTTTGTCATGAGAGAGGTGGTGTGGTTTGTTTACGTTTTATTTTTGCGATAATAATCAAAACATTCGTTTATGTGACTGAATTTTTATGTTGAGTTCTTCTGCTTAGCATAAACAAAAGCAAATTTCTGTATAATAGCATAGAAATTTGCACACAAGAGCACATTAGTCCATCGAAAGCAACTCCGTAGTGGCGTAATTCCTCCTTCTCCTTCCTTTGTCACACTGTCTCGGCGAATAGTAGGCCAACAGTGCTTTGTGACGAGAGTGATCTCAGAATCAGCTGTTGTTACTATAATTAGTTTGCCCAGATCTATTTTACTCTTATGATAGGCCTTACTAAAAGGAGTTAAAACCTCTAGAGTAAAAGGAGAGAGAAAGTTAATAAGGTCAATATGTTACAAATCATCTTCTTATCTACCTTACAAAGGTTAGGTCTAATATATTTGATTTTTTATGTATTTCAGATAATAAATTGAATTTTAAAGTAGTTTTAAAAACAATATGGAAAATGTCTCAAAGAGATAACAAAACCTATGGAACTTCTCAGCAGTATGAGAGAAGAGTGGAAACAAAGACTGCTGTTGTGAAAATGACTGGAGCTGTTCTCACTGAAGCTTCACAGTTTGAATCGGATGAGGAAGATGTTTATTGTAGTCAGCTAACTAATGGAGCTGTCAGTCCTAAAATACTCTATACCTCCAGTGAGAACAAACATAACTTCACAAAACTAAGTCCAGAGAAGACCATGTCAGTGCCAAGCTTGAATCCAAAAGTAGACAATTGTAATAATGTGAAAAATACAGAAGTTAAAAGTGATATTAATAAAAACAGTGAGGCATATCAAACTCAGCCTATAGATGACATTAATGACAGTCGCAATGACTCAGCCAATTTCAGTCTTTCTCCTTCCTCTCCTTCCTCGGTACACTCAGGGACAAGTTCCAGTCCAGACAAACAACGAACACGTTTTAATCCTTTCGATCGAGATCTCAATATTGATGATGAACACTTTGATGATTTTAAAGATAATTATTTTTTACCTTCCCATAATTCAAAAACATTCAGTGCTAGATCAGGTAAGTTATACAGGATACCATTTTTCATCTTCTGTAGTTTTCCTAATTTAATGCTTATTTGATATATGAATTTCTTTGCATGTTTTGGAATATGGAGTATTGTGTATATTATGCGATCACTGAGATTACTTCTCATGCAATATCTTGTCCATGTTAAAACACAGAGGCAAAAACAAGATTTTCATACTTGCATTATTTTAATCTTAACCAATTTTAACTATTGACTACCTCATCCTTTGATTTTGTTTCCTACTTCATGACCAGGGCCAGTGCTTTTTTGAGAATACTGTTCTCATCTCACACTAACATAAAATATATTACCATAGTATAGATTGCGAATTGCTATTGACACAATCAATTTTTCACAATTATTTCTTGCTTTACTGTTAAATATGCATGTTTTGACTTCTAATAGTCATTCGCTGATAGCAGATAACCATCATGAAATTAAATACTGATATGTTATATGGCCATGTTTGACTCTCAGACCATTTTCATAAAGATATTTGTATGAAATTTATATTGATAATAAAATTTAGATAATGAAAATTGTAATACAATATTGTAGAGTCATTTAACAGCGAAGTAACTGGTATAACAACATCAGATACCACTAGCAGTGATGAGATAACTTTCGCTGATTTAGGTTTAGCTGAAGATCACTTCTCTCATCCTGAGGTTAGTCAATCAATGACAATCAATGGTCTCCACTGAGTCTTTGATCCCCAGAACTTTTACACTATCAAAACTCTTATTTAACATTGAATAAAGCGGCTGATTTCAAGACTGACAAATTTAGGTCCAGGTGGTTTTTACTGAAAATGCCTTACATATGTTCAGTGTTAAGTTTATGGCACATATAATGCTGAGCATAGGTCAAGGACTGTCTCTTTGCCAACCTTGGTTGATTTTACTCTATTTTACAGATGTGACCAGCATATTGTCATCCAAAATTGTAAAATGTAAAATGTAAAAATTTACTATGATATTTTCAGGGTTATTTTGGTTTGAGTAATAAAGAAGAACTAGAGTTAGCTATTGATACTTGTAAAGACTTGATTAAAGATGCTAAGCCTAATTCAGATAAACATAAAAACCTGGTCAAGAAATTGATACAACTGAGATTAAAAATACAAGAAATTAAGGTAGATCGAAATGACAAATATACATTATTATGTATGTGAATTCTCTGAAAGTGATACCAAATTGACAAAAGTAGTGGCATCAGTTGGCAGGAGAGCTTGAAAGGATTGTAAGCTGAAGATTTCATGATTATTGTAACAATCTACAAAGATTAGCTTATGGGTTATTTTACCTTTTGTGGCGCTGCTGTATTGACCAAATTTCCTCTTTTGCATCCAGCATTGCAATCCTTTTTTGATCGAAAGGTTGAGGAAAAAGAGGAAATATTTGTATGTTTTTTTTTATCTGGACAGGATGCATATTATTTATGGTGACAGATTTATCCAGATGTACTTGTTGGTATGAAAGGGTGCACATTATATTCACACTTATAAAGTAAAAAAGCCACTATGGTTGATGTTGTTTCTTTATTCATATCAGGAAGGTCCAGAAGAACTAGAACCTGATATAAAGGCTGTTACAGGACATAAATTTAAAATAAAACAAAGTCGAAGTTCTAAACATTATTGTGAGAAATGTAATGCTGTAATTTGGGGAGTGATACAAGAATGGTACAGATGTATTGGTGAGTACAGTTGTGTTTAGTATTATATATAAAGTGAAGGAAAAACTCAGAAGATTGTAGAGAGGTAGATCAGCGGTCCAAGCAGTTCCGTCACTATCGCAAAAGCTGTTTTAATATCCTTTACGATATTGACATCCTTAAACCCGTAGTTTTAGATGAATTGCATGAAGCATGACATAATTAAAGCTAAGTTCTGTACATTTGTCTCTAATCTTAGATCATTACTTTTTTATTGTAGATTGTGGTTATTGTTGTCATTCAAAATGTTTAAATCAAATCACTAGAACTTGTGCTAAAGTTAAGGTATGTTCATCTTATGTGCATTTTCAAACTAGAGTATTGAAAATATCTTTTGCTCTTAACTGTATGAGTAATTATTCATATATTAAATTCCAAGTAAACAATGTATGACATGAGAATTTTATGCTTTTAAACTTATTCTATTTTACATGTATTTATTTACAGTAAATGCCTTATCATATTTTTCAGGTTGAAGAAAATCCTACCTATATTCTCACTATCTGTCCTCAAAAAAGTCTGGCTTCCCAAAATTATAGATGTTTTGAATGTCGTAAAAATATATCATTTAGTAAGTATGAAAATAACAAATGTTTTTGCAATGAAATTGGCTTCAAAGCATAAATTCCAGAGCTTCTTTTAATGTTAAAATGGGTTTTATTCTATGCAATTTTCATTTTACTTGACTACTCATCCTTCAGACTCTTCATTAGCCCACATGGTGCAGAAAGTTAAAACTCCATTCATTTCATCCTTTGGACTTTATCTATAATATGCAAATATTTCAAGAAGATATTTTTTTATTGACATGTTTGCTTTGCACTATTGATTTAGTTTGTGTTAAGTTATGCCGAAAGGTTTGTTGACTTTCTAAACTAGGTTGTATGCATTTTAAACAGGTTGAAAATTACATTAGTATTATATCATGTTGGCAAACTTCCAGTCAGTTAGTTTTAATAAAGTTTGAACAATGATGTAAACAAAACTTGTAGATATATGTTCAATGGGAGAAAAGATTATTTTGCAGTTGATCCCTGTTTCTAAAAAATCAAAATTGAGAAATAGCACACTTTTAGATTTTAAATGACTGTCAAGCTATCTTAAATGAAACGGGACCCTGGTTATTTATTTTCTCAAATTGACTATATTTACAGTGTCTGGTAGTAATGTACCTAGATTATGTGACTATACAGGACAATATTACTGTGAATACTGTCATTGGAATGATAATATGGTCATACCAGCCAGAGTCTTACATAATTGGGATTTTGAAACTAGAAAGGTATGTATTTCATTGAACAGAGTAAAAAGAAAGTTTTATATCTTGTTGTGGCTTTTGTAAGCATATATATATATTAATGCCTTAAGAAATAATAAAACAGAACATTAACTTTGTTTTTACTCAGAGCAAAAAAAAGGGGTGCTCATTTCAAGTAGTATGTCAGTAATATTAGACAAAGTGTGCACTTGATCTTGCATTTACATTTTGAGATAAGATTAAGCGAGATAGCTTTTTATCAGGTGATAATCTCAACATCATCTATTCATAGCACATAATTAAATTTCAAAGATCAGTTCTCAAACAATTCAACAAAAATGTCAATAATTGAAATTAAGACTTATGACTTTTTAACATGTGGTTATTATTAATTTTACTTTTACAGTACATGTTAGTGTCATTAAATATTTTTATTTCCTGTAGATAACATTATTTACTAGGCTTAATTTGATTTCAGGTGTCACGTTCTTCCAAACAATGTCTACGTTTAATGTATTTAAAACCAGTAATCAGAATACAAGATATTAATCCTATGTTGTTTAATTTTGTTGATGAATTAAATGAAATTAAGGCAAGTAAATTTGTTTATCATTGCTATAAGAACTGTATAAGAAAAATACATTAATTTGAATTGAAGACTGTTGGCAGTTCATTGAGCTATTTTCAATAGAAATTTAAAAAAAAAGTTAACAAACTTGGATATTACTATCAAAGCAAGCTGATATTCTATTTCATATAAACAATGATTGGTATTATTGTAATTACCCCCATCAAGAGTAAAAAAAAAACCATCAGCTGCAGATAAGTTGGATCTAAAACTTTGAATAAAGTGCACATCCTTTCTTATCCTCAAGTGGATCAGGAAATTAGTCCCTTCTTATTATCTGCATGGACTGAATGTTAGACAGGACCATGTCCTTGTTAAGTGGACCTAATTCTGAGCCATGTGAAATAAAGAGTTTATTATTATTTATTTTCTATTGAATACATTATAGAAATTACGAGAAGAGCTATTGATAATGAAGAAATATATATTACTATGTCAGCAAGCTATGAAAGTCAAATTATTACGTAGATTAGACAACAGACAGCATTTTGTAGAGAGCAGTGATGTTTATACTATGAAAGATTTAATGGAAGTACAAACTGATGTACTGTTATCAGAGATAGCTCAAGTACATTCTACATGGGCACAGCATATAAAAACAGACTGTGAGGTAAATATACTGTATAATTGCGAATATAATGCACACTTTTTCTTGCCCTCAGGCAAATCTGGAAACATCTCTAAGATCTAATATAATGCACAGCTTTTCTTGGCGTTGAGTAAATTTTAGCTAAAAAACTCTGTTAACATTATGGACAAAAGGTTGACATACTGCAGTCACTACAATATTTAGTGTTAATATCTAGAATTCCATAACTTACATTAAATATTCATATAGCTATGACTTCTGAATCAATATGAGGTATTATATGCAAAAGAGAAGTGGAGCCAACTATGTCTTTTATTGTCCTTGGACCTTGAGCTTATTGAAATAATTTTTTTGATATTTTATTGATAATTGAAAGGGATTTAGAACAGGTGAACAATTCTATAACACTTCAATAATACTATGTAATATACAGTTTGATTAATAAAAATAATATTATATGATATTGTAGAGATGTCAAGGTAGAGGGTATGTGTGTGAATTGTGTCATGAAGATGAAGTGTTATTCCCCTTTGATAGTATAGCTGTAGTTTGTTCTCAATGTTCTGCTGTATTACATAGGTAAGTTATCTTAACGACAGTTACAACTATTGACCTACAATATATTAGTGATAGAAAGACAACCTCTTTGTTTTCATATAGATTTTGACACCCAAACTCAAACTTTGACACCCCTCAAAGGATAACAATATTAGCTATGAGAATGTTTTGAAAGGCTTAAACGAATTTGCAGACTTAGTTGCTGAGTGCCAAATTGGTCTCAGAAAACAGTATATCATATTTCTTAAATTTACCATAATCTGTAAAGAAGTTTTCTAAACCTTTTATGTGTATTAGGGACACTGTTAGCATCAATTTGCACAATTAAAATATTCAATCTGACTTTTGTGATTCTTGCAATTTATTTCAAACTGAATGCTTTATTATTGCAAAGGCACTAGATATTTTAATCCTCTCTTACGATAGTGAGGTTATAAAACGCTTTGTTTTAGAGAAATTGCAAGTACCACAGACTTCTGACTCAGTGTCCCTTATATACTAAAAAACCTCTTTACAATCGTTTAAAGTTTTGATCTCTGTTGAATAGTTTACAACAAGGTAGCTTATTTACATGTAGTTATGATTTTTTTTCTAAAAACATGAACTGTATTTCAGACATTGTTTTGCGAGAGATAATGGTCAATGTCCACGATGTAGGAGAAGAGATAAAAGAAAAGAATGACTGTTGAAATAATTATTATTATTTTTATATTTTTGTATTTTAACTGTGTATGACTGTGATAAGTATACTTGCCTTATTTCTATTTTAACTTATGAGAAAGATTATAATTTATTTTAATATGGTTCCCTCTATATATTCTAAAGTTTATTTTCTATTGAAGTGAAAACTGTGTTTGGGAATTAAGATTAAAGGAATATTACCTCTTCAAACCAACATTAACATTTTTTACTTTCTCCAATAAGAGTATTTTCAATAATTACATTTATTGGCCAAGTTTGAAAATTTAAACTTTATGTGTATTTCAAGAGGCAGTAATTGTAATTTTCATCAAAGTATTGGATGTATCACAGAGGATGGTTAGTTGTTTTATACCAGCCTTCTATAAACTGGAGGTTAACTGAGTTGTTGCTTCATTGTTTGCATTATTATTCTTATAGTTAGTTAAAAGGACTCCAGGCACCACTGATCGCTTGGTTATATCATATACTTTGCTAAGTAACTAAGACAGATTACGTCTATTTGCATAAGTTACACAAAAAATGAAGAACAAAGGCGTAAAGCTTATGCAAAATGACTGATATTGCCCATTTGCTGAGAGCTGTGTCGCCTACTATTCTTTGTTGATCTCCAGGATGTGCAGAAATATTGTTGACTGAATATTGTTGACTAAATATTGTTGACTGAATATTGTTGGGTAATTTTAATTTGTTATGGACCAAGTTGTTATTATAAGTTTTAAGTTTACTAAATGCTTGCCTGATATTGATATTAAAAATTCAAACCACAGTTTGGTTTAATTATTATATGTTCTTAATTGATATATTAAAACAAGGATTTTAACTAAATGCTTTTAGTTTAATTTTTAAACCACTTTAATCATCATTTGTCAGAAGTTGAAGCCCGAAGCGTCTAGAAAAAATAACGTGAATTTAAAACAATGCCAAATATTGGTCTTGTCATCGACCTTTTAAGTTTTGTTTTTTTAACATTCACAATATCTTGAAATTATCATTTTTTCGAGATTCAATCTTTGGCAACTCCGAGGAAGTGCATCCATATATTCCAAGTATAACTTCATAGATTTGCAATAGGCGCATGCCTCCCATCGAAAAAGGTAAAAGAGAAAATTAGAAAAATAGAATTGATTTTATGGGGGTACAAATCATTTTTCTAAAGGATGGTGAGGAGCTGTACCTCCATTGAAGCCGCCACTGTATCGAGAGCGACGGATTCATTCGTCGGCCTTGATCTAATATGCAATTGCTACCTTTCAGAATAAAACCCTTTAATGATATTTAATTTATATTTCTCCTGCCCACTGAACATGTCCTCGAGCTGAGCGACTCATTGAGTAAGCTGTCAATTAGTGGAAATATTTGACAGTGAATGAATTGAAGTATGATGTATTGACCAGTTTCCAGCCTTGAGATCTTAGCAAATAACAATAATACCGTGAATATCCATGCCAGTAGCCAGTGTTTGGTATGGTTGTGGATGCAAAATCCCCCCCCCCCCCTCCTCCTCCGGAAAAAAACTTGACAACCGAGCAATTCAATATGTCTTGCCCTTTGTATCTACGACCTACCCCTGCTAAGCTGCAACTATAGCTACGGCCTGCCCCTATATCTACGGCCTGCCTCTATATCTACGGCCTGCCTCTATAGCTACGGCCTGCCTCTATAGCTACGGCCTACTCCCTGTAGCTACGGCCTACCTCTATAGCTACGGCCTACCTCTATAGCTACTCGTAGCTACGGCCTGCCTCTATAGCTACGGCCTACCCCCTGTAGCTACACCTGCCTCTATAGTTACGGCCTACCCCCTATAGCTACGGCCTACCTCTATAGCTACGGCCTACCTCTATAGCTACGGCCTACCCCCTGTAGCTACGGGCCTGGCCTTATATAAGTTAAAGTTAAGGAAGAAGCAGTGATTCAGAATTAAGAAATTATTGTTTTTTTAAAAAAAATCATTTAAAAAAATCAGAAAGTTGGGAAAACATTTTACGATTTCCCATCTTGAACATTGATGATGTGCAAAAAAGCTTTACACAATTACAAAACATTGAGGCTTGAGAGGAAATTGATTATTCTGTGGCCCCGACTCACTGCTACCTAATGGTCAATAGACACGCTTGAGACACAAGATCTTGCCAAAATCCCAATTCTTCTTATAATGTAGAAATGATCTCCACTGGAGCAGTTGGATGTTCTATATTTTCGTCACGCTGTCACACTTTCTCGACTGTCAAATTGTCACATCGTCACACTTATTAAATCATACCGTTACATAGAGGTATGAAGCCGTTAGACTTATATCTAGCAGGTCCTATCCTTCACACACATATCCATAATGATTTTCATCAGAGATATGGGGTGAGTGATTTTATTCCATTTATTAGCGCTAGAATGTTGATCGCTTAGTTTCCTACACCTTTCAAATGTCAACGCATCATATCATATCTCTACACAAAGTTATATCTTATTTTTCGTAACAGTTAGTTCTGTGAACCCGATTTTTTTCTATGTCATCGGCAATGAGCCCACGCTTCTTCGAAACGCATTAACAGTTAATTTTAACACCATCAATTCCCACGTTCAATACAGATTATTTAAAAATTTTAAACATGAGTTTGGCGTCCATTATTGTCAATTTGTGGGGAATTAATCTAATTATGTATTTGTACAGTTATTTTTCGTGATCGACTGGCTATTCTTGATATGCCTTTAATTATATGACACGGACGAAAAATAGTTTCCTGCGATGCATGTGGCAACTCTCGGCATTTTCCGTAGTGCTGACTCTACCTCGGATGTGGATGGAAAGTATATAGCCTATCTCTGGGCATTTTGGGACGAAGATTTGCAGTACGCCTCCTGTTTAAACAATTATTTCGAATATAAATTCTAACTTTATTTTCAATAAATAAGACCCCCTCTTTATTTCAACATAAAATAGTGCACTTGTGCAAAACATAATTCACTGTTATTCAAAGTAGATAAAGAATACATTTTGCATTTTTTCGTGCCAATGTATTTTCTGAAGGCGAATCCATCCGGTACAAGTGTATTAACCAACAAATCAAACATCCATGCACCAGGACCTGCACTTTAATGAGACTAAATGATATATTCCAAACCATTTTAATCATATGTTCGTTATCACGTTTTACTATATATACTAAATCAATACAGTATTTCAGAAATCAATCAAGAATCAAAAAGAATCAAGTTAGTCCAAAATCCATCTTCACTATGATATGTCATGTCATGTCACTACTTCATCTAATGCCTTGACATCATTAGGTCCAATAGGCCGGGTGGTTATAAATAGTCTCCTTATATTAATTTATATAGATATTGTTAATTCTTGTACCACATGTCACTATAATAAACACATTTTCTAGTTATTAGGCACTTTTCTTGTATAACGGAAGTTTGTAAATGCAGCAAGATGATTGGATTGCATTGCACGCTAGAGATAACAACCAATCAGAGCTTTTGACAGAAAGGTTGTTTGTTAAATTGAGAACTCTGGATGGCCGTATTCTTTAACGTATAATCCTATCAAATCGCTAAATTTAAAACCTACTGCCTGATGATATCAAGGCTTCGTAATGCCTTGACAATGTGAAGAGTAGTCTCGGTTAATATTACCACTGACAGTAAAGGGTGTACATATATAATTACAGAGTCTGGTCGATCTCAGATTAGTCCGTCATCTTATCCTCACTTTTTATACCTCATTGCTCTTCATCGTCTATATTCAGCATCAAATACTGACTTTTTCTCCCAAACTGTAACACTGAGTGTCACTTAACTAAGTGATAAACTGACACACTCAATGAATTGTAAACAAATCTTCATTGCCACGGCAGGATTTTAACAGACCCGTCTTGACATTAAATACTGTACAAGTGTCTCAAGTTAGTCGGTTGGAGTGGCTTCCAGACAAACGGTGTAATGATATCAATCTGTAACAACTTTAACCGTCTGAAATACTGTTTGAATACAGAGTCACAGTTACGTTGATAAGAAATTTCTCTTCTCCCCCCAAAAATTGAGCAAGAGTTGGAGATTAGTAATTTTAGGTTGTAACATTGCGGTTAAATGATGTTACGAACGCGGTGATTGAAAAGCAGAGAAAGTATGTTAAATGTAAGGTCAAAATGATTCCTTGACAGAAAAAGAGTTCTGACCCGGAGATCCCAAAACCTCCTCGTGATATCATTAAATTTACCATTGAACCGGCAAACCCAGGATGCTTAAATGTCTTTCCAAAGACACGCGAGATTAGGATTGAAAATTGAGAATGTCCAAAACCGTTGAACACTTGGTGCCTGGGGTGGATTTCCAAAAGGAGGGTGGCAGAAAGGATGCGATTTTCTGAGTTTTATTACTTTATTGCTTGTAAGCGCCTTTGGTTGCCCAATGTTAAAGTGGAATATATAAATTTGGCGGTGTTTGATAGTTGTCCCTCTTCAATTACCGAAGTTTCATTACCAAAACGATATTATCATTTTCTTTGTACCCAACTGACACGTAAAACGTGTTTCATCTCAATGTTGACGTACAAACGCAATACTTGTTTTTAAACAAAAATCTTTCCTCAGGGGCTCGAAAACAATGAAGGGTGTTAATAAGGACTGGTCATCATTTCTGAGTTTTCTTTTTCTCACAAACAAACAACGTTTTAAGCCTATATAGTGTAAAAGGTCACAACAGATATAATATAACAATATACTAAAACAATTTAGATAATGTTAAACATGAATTAATCAAGCACTAAAAACTCAAAACTGGTTGCTTACGGGAATTTATTTGTATATGGTGAAGTATACTTGATAAATCTTCTTTGGTTAATTTATTATCTTCATCCAAACTTCTTATAACTTCACTGTATTGGCTTAAGTTGTTTAAATATGTCCTTATTACAGACGCAATAATTGCTAAGTGCTGGTAATTTTGCAAAATGGTCTAGGTCTATATGGTATTTTCCAA